CTCAAGGTATGAGATGAAAATAATCAAGGCAAAGAAAAACAAACAATTCATCAGATAAAACAAACAAGACAAGAGATGAAAGAATCAAGTTAAAAGATGAAATAAGTTGACAGATGAAACAAGGCAAGAGACGAAGTCATCAGATGAAACAATCAAGGCAAGAGATGAAATATTAAGGTGAGAGATAAAACAACAATCAAAAGATGAAATAAGACAAGATAACTGACCTCTGTGTCTGCCTTCCATCTCTCAGCCTCTTTTCCGGACTTGATTCTTGTCCACACTGAAATGTTCACAAATAAAACCATCATTATTGATCTAGGAAAGTTCTATGTGTAAAACTGTTTTGTCACCTTTCCGCCCTTATAGATCTTAAGTGTTGTGCTAAAGGAAAGCAAGGGAATCTCGGCCCATGGCAAGTGTCTTCCTCTTCTTACCATTCACCAGATGTAAGTTTTGATTGTTGGACTAGTTCCAGAACATGTGTTTGTGTATTTTCTTGATACTCATAGCATGGATATTTTTATATGAACATAACCTGCTTTAAAGGTAAAAATACAACCGTATCATGAAAGATTCATGTTTGAAAGGCAGAATGTAAGAAGGGCCTGTGTGCCCAATTTGTGAACCTTTGAAAAAAAAGCTTATTTATTTGTTCTCTCTCTCACACACACATGCGTGCGCGCACACACACACAGTTTTCACCCTCACAAACAAATTCTGCATGTAGGTACATGTGATGTAAGTGAATGTACATGGGCGGAGGGTGTGTGTGGTGTGCGTGCATGTGTGTGTGTGGAGAAAAAGAGGGACCCATGAAGGCATGTGCGTGTATGCACACACAATCCACTTATCACAGATCACATAAATTATTTCCACTACTTACATGCAAGAGCATCCTCGATAGATGTGACGTTGGCAAAATGTGCCGTGTTGGGGATACCTAGACATCTCATTCCCAGGGCGTGACGTGACTCCTGTCATTGACATGAGAAGAAAAAAAAGAATCTTATTAGAAATGGTCATCTTATTAGTAACGAGAAAACTGTAGAGTGTATTTATTGCCTGTATAATTGCCATTTTTAGCACTCCAGAACAAGTGGGTTATGAGCCTGAGGATTTCACGCTGCATCAGCCGTTACAAATTGTGCAATTTGGAATTGCCCTGGACACACAAAAACTCCACGATTTGCTGGGGACTGAGCCTAGGTCTCCTGCGTGACGGCCAAGTGTTTTAACAACTCGGCCAGCCACTCATATTTTTAATAGGCTGCTGTAATTCACTTTCCAATGTAGAATGATGAGAGCACTATTCTGCAAAGGACTTGCTATATGATAAGCCAGCAGTACCAACCTTTATCGAATCAGGACTTCCTTTTATAGTCAAAGTGACACCGCAACCCCATACATTTAAAAACAGAAACAGGGTCAATGAAAACACATTGAAAAAAACATAGATTTTCTGTGTAGGGCGCAATGACGGGATTTTTATCCTCCCTTTTTAAAACCTGGCGTAGCTCATCATTGTCTCGGTGACCTCACAGAAAACTCTTTGTGACCCTATCTGGGGTTTGAGCCATAGATTGTGAACCTGCATGATAAACTGTTTTACATGAAAGTTTCTAAACTGAATACTAATTGACCCAAAAACAAAACTGGGTACCAGACAATGTTCTGGGAAGTAAAGGCAGTCGACATGATGGTGAGCACATAATCCATCAAGTGCTGACTGCACCATATGTCTGATCCACCAATCGTGGGGAAAGGGTCCTGAAACAAATAGGTTATTTATTGAAAAGAAAAACAAATGCTCGAAAAGAAATTAATAGTGGGGAGAGAAAAATTGGCCTTTACACAGTATGACATCTTCTTCTGCAGAATTCCAAGTCTTGAGGTTCACTGCTGCAGCTATCACCCATCTTCTCCCACCTCCATTCCTCTCTCTTTCAAAATAAAATGTGTTCATTCAATCTGTGACTGGCCCTCTTTCCAGTGTTTGTAGGTCTGACTGTATATGATCTCTTCACCATTCAGCTCATTTGTGAATGTAATGTTTGTGCTGCCAGTGCAAAACATGGACCCTTACGACAACTAATGAGCGGAAGATCGTAACAACAGAGACAAGATGTCTTAGGAGAGCTGCAGGTGTGACAAGAAGAGATAAAACCAAGAATGAAAAAATTAGAAGACTAGGACTGAAACTAGACACTCAATTTATTAAAGAACGACAAATGAGGTTTGGCCAACTGCTACAAAGAGCTACGCTAAAGTAATATAATGAACACAGTGCAAAGGGAAGACCACGCAAGAGATGGAGCGACATCATCATGAGCAACCTAACAGAAATGAACACCATCTTGTACAATGCATTGGGAAAAGTGCACAAGTGATCCTTACATCCCCACCCAACACGTCACTGAGGTAAATGGTGGAAGAGAAGAAGAAGAAGAAGAAGAAAGTTTTTGTCTGTTTTTTCTGTTTGCCATCGTCTGTATATGTTCTAACCATTGCAGTCGATTAGCCCTTGTGATGCCAGTAATTACTGGGTGTTTAAACAGTCTGTGACTTTCAGTGTTGCTTCCCACTCTCCATTCTCCACTGTTTGCATGTTTGTTGGGTCCAACGATTCATCCCATGACTCTTCTCCACAGTGCTCAGATTCCCTTAAAGTGCATGCCGTATGACACTGGCAGTCACGTGTATCCACAACCTTCTGTCTCGTGCACTTTCAATCAATTGAAACGATGATCCTCCATGCCATTTTCTCAGTCTCCCTCTCCTCCCCTCCAACTTTCCTACCGTCACGATGCACTCGTTTCTCCTTCTCATCACATGACCAAAGAATGTAGATTGTCTCTTTCCGATGTGAGCAATCAGTTCTCTTCTTGAGTAATTTTTCTTCAAGATACCCTCATTACACTACTCTAACATATACACTGGCACCCAGTTAATAGTGCGTTCTATGCTGATTGATAAGACTGAATGTTGAGCATCTGGTGTGCCTCTGAAGCCCAGATATGTCAATCTTCATTCCCAGCTCTCACATTCATAGCAGCGATGTCGTCACTAACACCCACCCCCCCAAATCCTCTGCTTATCCTCTCACTCACTGTAAGAGCATAAACTACACTGACATGATCCAAAGGTCACCATTTGCAAAAAAGGCGGAGCCAGTCAATCGTTTTACTCATTCCTTGCTAACAATACATGAATATCCTTGGACAAAGATTGGAACTGAGGCTTTTACTGGCAGGCAATCATGGGAACAATGTTTTGCAGTTTAAATGAAACTGTGCCATCTCCTTAATGAAGGTCAGCTACCATGTACCCGCTGCTGGTTTTGGCGTCCCATGCCTGCCGATTTTCTCCAAATCTGCACACATGTTCAAACCACCTAACTGTGACTGAACCCCAGTACTTCAGGATTATAAAATTGTGAAATCACTGCCAGTGATTAAACAAGCTGAAGAGAATACTTACAGCAAAATGTCGTTGGAAGGCCTTTGGTCCTCTGTAAGGGTGGTTGCCACAAATCTCACATGTGTAAGTCAGGTTAAGTCCATGGAGTTTGTACAGCCAGTAAGGGATCGGCTGTTAGCAAGAAAACAGAGACTGTGTTATCCATATGTTACAATAACTTTCAATGTTTAACTCTTAACATCTCTCAGTGAGGGTTTGTGGGTTCTCAGGCCGTGTGTGTGTGTGTGTGTGTGGGGGGGGGGGAGAGGAGTGTAAACATACTACAGACCCACTGACCCCACAACAATGAGTATGTCATAAAAGGGGACTAATTAGGGGTGTTTCCTCCTAAACTGGAGAGCATCTGTCTGAGAGTCGGGGAACCAAGAGTCTAATATAAAATAAACCACATCTGTAAAGCTGATATGCACGCAAGTACATAGCTGCTAATGTGCTGTATAATTGTATGGCGAACCTCTTCGTTTGTAATGTGGTCTCTGTACGATATGCCAAGAATTTTTATGAAACATTGCATTTTTAATGCTGGTATCTTTCTTTCAAGTTCAGCTGTTAAGGTCTATGTTTCAGAGCCATATGTAAATGTACTAATAGCTAGTTCTCTGAGCAATCGAATCTTAGTTTTACATAAAATGTTTTTGGACATTATGTTTGCTGCTTGGCATGGACTGAAGTTGTCTGGGCAATCCTAGACATGATTTCTGGTCTTGACCCCAAGTCACTTAGAATTGATCCTAAATATTTGAAATGAGTCACTTGTTCTAGTTTGTGACCTTCAATGTAGATTTGTGAAATTCTGCCAGCTGGATTATTAGTCATTACTTTTGTTTTTTCTGTGTTTATTTCCATGCCATACTTGGTTGATGTTTCATCGAGTACATTTACAAGCTCGACTAGTTCTTGTTCTTCTCCAGCCAACCCATCAATCTCATCTGCAAACCTTAAGTTTGTTATATTTCGACCTCCAATACTAACTGTTTCCTGATGTTGTTCTAGGGCATCAGTCATAATTCTTATATACATACATATACACGCACATACATATTTACACACGCATACACACATTCATACATATGAAAACAATAATTTAAAAAAATATATTAACCTATTTTAAGAAATTCTATTTCTCTCATGACAAGGGTTAGCTGACTGTTTTGTTTTCCTGATGTAGGATTCATGGTTGTTTATTAGTTGCTAAAGACTTTGGCGAAAACTTATGACCATATATGAATGCAGCTTTCCTGGTCATATTTTGTGTTACGCTTATTTAGTTCTCAAAACTAACAAACATCAAACTTGTATAGTATAAACAAAACATTTAATACACATCATCATGCAGTCAATCCCTTGTAGAATGCTGCATGCATCATAGCCCAGGTGAAAGAAACACAACCTCTCAATAGCTCTCCTGCCACGTGCACTTTCCAATCAAAGGTGTCGCTTATATCATGTGCCTATCTTCATGCTGGTCTGGCTCTGTCCCTCTTTCCTGGTAGCATGTCTTCTTCTACTGTCATTTCCAATCTCCACGGCGCCTGATAGTGCACAAATATTTCATTTTCTGAGACAAGATGCTGTTTACTAGCCAATCTTCCAGAGTGTCAGTAGTTATTTTCTTCTTTGTTTATTGTACTCTGAGAATGTTTCGCTTCAAATGCCCCATTTTTTTCCCTAATGACCATGAGATAGTCCATAACTCACATCCGTATGTTGCTACAAGGCCGACGCATGCTTTCCACATTCTGACTCTGATTTCCTTGCCGGTCCTTAACCACAGACTTTTAATTATGTTTAATAAAATATAATATAAACCTTGGAATTAATGCACCTGCACAATAAAACAACAAAATAAAATCCAAACTGACTTTTCCATCCCAACCCAGCGGCAAGTCTTTAGGATTGTAAGGCGTATCATCAGCGTCTTCATCAGAGTCTGACTCCTCGAACTTCTCCTCATCCGACTCCTCCCTCTCCTCGCCAGTCTGAGCCTGTTTTCGCTGGACATTGTCTCGTGTGGCAGCTCGCTGCTCGCTCAGCATCTCAGACAGTCGGTATACCTGAGCCTCCAACATAGCAATTTCCTTCTGTTTTTCTGAATCCCTGCAAGTTCAAATTAAGTTCACATATGTCAGTACAAAAAATCTTTTGATATAGAGAACTTTTTATATATTTTATATTTATTCCATAATTAATTAATAAATATATATGTTTTAATATGTCAATTTGTTCATTCTGTTGAAGTAATTAATAAATACAGGTTTGATATACTGGCTGACCTCTTTAAATCATTCAGAAATACACATGGTTTACATATTAAATTTGCCTTTCAGTTCAAAAGTTGTAGAAATACATACATATATTACCTAATTTCCTTTCAGCTGAAATAATCAAGATATATATATATTTTATGATGTCAACATGCCTTATACAAAAGAGCTAACCTCAAGTTTAAGAGTCAAATAATACCTGAAAGGGACATAAACCTGTTGCCATGTAGGCAATAGACCACTTAAAAGCAGACTATATCATCCGAACTGCCTGTTATAAAGTGTAAACTTATGGAGTAAATTTCACACTCACTTGGTTTTGCCAACTTTGGTTGTCTTGCCAGGTTTAGACTTGGCAAACAGAGCTGGGTCCAGTTCATCCAAGGTTTTCCCCTTGGTGCTGAACAGGCGCTGTGCTCTTTCTTCCAGTGTGCTGAAATGAAAGTGGATCAAGATGACACCTTTACTTTACAGACAAGACAGAAACTAGCATGGGTCTAAGTGCAATAATCCTGCCACCTTGAGAAGACTAAATCTCGTAATTTCCAACTGTGACACAGTCCTGTAAATGTTGATAGATCAGCCTGTCTGTAGTGACCTGTTCTACAAAAGTGCAGTTAACTTCCATTCGAAGTCTTGTCAACCAGCACAGGACTAGCACTGTTAACCTGCAAGGCTGATGAATATGTTAAAGGGGGAAATCTGAGCACCTATGAATGTATCCGAAAGTGCTGTAAAGATAATCCAGCCCATAAATACCATTCGTTTTTATGGCCCCAATGGTTTTTTAAGAGCCAGGTTGAAGCCAAATTTTCCTGTTAGCTTCAATATGAGTCACTTGATATGTATTGTTTCTAGCCACAGGAAATGTATTCTGTGTAATGTTTAATTCTGTGTGCGTTTACTGATTACATATATTACCATCATGAAGTGCTTTGCCGACTGGTGTGGGCAATCATGCCTCTCCACAATCTGCCACTGTGTGTATCAGTTTGTGTGTTGACATCCATCCATGCCAAGCCAAAAAGCTGTCAAGAATCTCCTTATGTTAACTCCACTGGTCACAATATGTTCCAGTTTCCTTCTTCTCATGACATGACCAACAATTGATGATCACCTCTTTCTGATGTTTGTGATAAGTTTGACTTCCTTCCTTCGCCTCATTCAAAACATTTAGACTGTTTTTTTTTGGCTGTCCAAGGAATTCAAAGTATTCTTGTGTGAAACCACACCTCTGAGGCCTCAAGAAATTGTCTGGCTTGTTTATTAATTGTCCAGGGTTCACAGCTATATACACTTTTTAAATATTTTTATATTTTCAAAAACAAATGTACAAACGTAAAAAAATGCATAAGTCACCAATGTAAATGGTTTGATTGCAAAACTTTACTGCATTTGGTGTAGCTGAAGTAAATGGCCTCGTGTCTGTACTAAAGTTAGCATACCTGGCAGTGTTTCTACAGTCCATGCTTCTAATAAAATACTGGAGATGTGTCAAATTATGTTTTCTTGACCAAACAATTAGGACATGACACTGAAGTCAATTAGTCAATTTTCTTGATGAAATAAATGGGATACAGAGCTAATGTTAATTTTCTTGACCAAAAAATAATATGGAGCACCATAAGGTACAAGATGAGATGGGATAGAATCAATTTTCTTGTGACTTTCAATCAATCTTTCTGTGGTTATCCTCTCCCTCCCTTACTCCTGAATCATTAAGTATATAATATGTTAAAGAAACTTACCCCCCACATTTGACACCAAGGGCCATCAGGGCAGATTTCAGACGATCAAGCCCAAGAGATGCCAATTCCTGAAAACACAGACATAAAATATCAGGTACAACACAACTAAGACAGGCAACCTAGGACAACATGTTGACCATTATCTCATCACAAAGTTACAAATATAAATAATCATCACTAGTGTATACCAAATTTAGGATTGGCAAATCAGCCATGTCTAGACTGAGCCAGGCATGAATGTGCGCTGAGGTGACAGACTGACCCAGGCATGAATGTGCGTTGCGTTGAGGTGAGCAGACTGACCCTAGGGCATGGAATAATGTGCGTTGTTTATTGACAGTGACATAAGAAACTGGGGACCCCAGGCATGAAAATGTGCGCTGAGGTGACTGACCCAGGCATGAATGTGCGTTGAGGTGACAGACTGACCCAGGCATGAATGTGCGTTGAGGTGACAGACTGACCCAGGCATGAATGCTCGCTGAGGTGACAGACTGACCCAGGCATGAATGTGCGTTGAGGTGACAGACTGACCCAGGCATGTATGTGCGCTGAGTTGACAGACTGACCCAGGCATGAATGCTCGCTGAGGTGACAGACTGACCCAGGCATGAACTGCTCGCTGAGGTGACAGACTTGACCCAGGCATGAATGTGGCGTTGACAGTGACAGACTGACCCAGGCATGGAAAAAATGTGCGTTGTGAGGTGTGACAGACTGACCCAGGCATGAATGCTCGCTGAGGTGACAGACTGACCCAGGCATGAATGCTCGCTGAGGTGACAGACTGAACCCCAGGCTGACCCATGATGAATGCTCGCTGAGGTGACAGACTGACCCAGGCATGAATGTGCCTGAGGTGACAGACTGACCCAGGCATGAATGTGCGCTGAGGTGACAGACTGACCCAGGCATGAATGTGCGTTGAGGTGACAGACTGACCCAGGCATAAATGTGCGTTGAGGTGACAGACTGACCCAGGCATGAATGTGCGCTGAGGTGACAGACTGACCCAGGCATGAATGTGCGTTGAGGTGACAGGACTGACCAGGCATGGAATAATGGTGGACAGATTGACGGTGACAGAAACTGGACCCAGGTGACATGAATGTGCGTTGAGGTGACAGACTGACCCAGGCATGAATGTGCGTTGAGGTGACAGACTGACCCAGGCATGAATGTGCGTTGAGGTGACAGACTGACCCAGGCATGAATGTGCGCTGAGTTGACAGACTGACCCAGGCATGAATGCTCACTGAGGTGACAGATGCTCGCTGAGGTGACAGACTGACCCAGGCATGAATGCTCGCTGAGGTGACAGACTGACCCAGGCATGAATGTGCGCTGAGGTGACAGACTGACCCAGGCATGAATGTGCGCAAAGGTGACAGACTGACCCAGGCATGAATGTGCACTGAGGTGACAGACTGACCCAGGCATGAATTCTTGCTGAGGTGACAGACTGACCCAGGCATGAATGCTTGCTAAGGTGACAGGACTGACCAGGACTGACGCTGAGCATGACACAATGCACGGCAAATTGAGGTGTGACAGACTGACCCAGGCATGAATGCTCGCTGAGGTGACAGACTGACCCAGGCATGAATGTGCGCAGAGGTGACAGACTGACCCAGGCATGAATGTGCGCTGAGGTGACAGACTGACCCAGGCATGAATGCTCGCTGAGGTAACAGACTGACCCAGGCATGAATGTGCGCTGAGGTGACAGACTGACCCAGGCATGAATGTGCGCAGAGGTGACAGACTGACCCAGGCATGAATGTGCGCTGAGGTGACAGACTGACCCAGGCATGAATGCTTGCTGAGGTGACAGACTGACCCAGGCATGAATGTGCGCAGAGGTGACAGACTGACCCAGGCATGAATGTGCGCTGAGGTGACAGACTGACCCAGGCATGAATGTGCGCTGAGGTGACAGACTGACCCAGGCATGAATGTGCGCAGAGGTGACAGACTGACCCAGGCATGAATGTGCGCAGAGGTGACAGACTGACCCAGGCATGAATGTGCACTGAGGTGACAGACTGACCCAGGCATGAATGTGCACTGAGGTGACAGACTGACCCAGGCATGAATGTGCACTGAGGTGACAGACTGACCCAGGCATGAATGTGCACTGAGGTGACAGACTGACCCAGGCATAAATGTGCACTGAGGTGACAGACAGACCCAGGCATGAATGCTCGCTGAGGTGACAGACAGACCCAGGCATAAATACTCGCTGAGGTGACAGACAGACCCAGGCATGAATGTGTGCTGAGGTGACAGACAGACCCAGGCATGAATGCTCGCTGAGGTGACAGACTGACCCAGGCATAAATGCTCACTGAGGTGACAGACAGACCCAGGCATGAATGCTCACTGAGGTGACAGACTGACCCAGGCATAAATGCTCACTGAGGTGACAGACAGACCCAGGCATGAATGCTCGCTAAGGCGGTCATTTTTTTTTCTCTACTAGGATAAAAAATAAAATCATAACCTCCACAGTCCATGGTGACTCAGACTTAAGCCACAACCCTTCCCCCCCCCCCCCCCCCGCCCCCCCCCCCCCCATATACAGTTGCAAATACAGACAATGAAACTAGTTTTTTTTTTAGCAAGATTCAGCACAGCATTTACCGAATGATCTGATCAGACTTTGCACTAAGAATGATCCCTAGTAGGATTTTAAGTATCATACTGGGGTATTGTTATATTGAACAAATGCCTGCAGAAATCTGATGTCTTGGCATATAACCTCGAAACATAAACAGTCTCAGATATTCTCTACTCAATCTTTACCACTTCCATTCAACATAAAGCACATAAAATAGCCCTTACCTCCCATGAGGAAAAGGCAGACAGGTCCAGATGGGCACCAGAGTGAGTAAGGGCACCTGATGTCTCTTTCTGCAGGACAAAAAACATACGAAGTAAGCAAACAAATACACCACGTGTACAAGTGTGACTAGGAAACCTATATTTGTCAATTTTTTTTTTTATACGTCACTGTTGGCTGATTGGTTGGTCAGCTGAACAGCTGATCACCAGGTTACCTGATGAATTAATCATCAGTAAATCAACAGAGTTTGTGAACTTGCTTCACAATTCAAAAATACCTGGTTAAATGCAGCTGCAGCAATATGGCAGCAGACTGCTATGTGTTGATTTTTACAATTGTACAGAGTGCTGACCTTTCAAAAAGCAATGGCAAACTACCAAAAGTAAACCTGCCTAGTTAAATTCCGAACAGTCAGCAAATACTTGGGTTGGTTTTGCAATATCCTTAAAAGGATTTGCAGCTAACTGTTAACACAGATACATACGCCAGTAAAAAACTATATTTATACTATGTATATTGATACTAATGACAGGGCAACCTATATATATCATGGAACTATCTATATGATACATGAGACAGGACAACCCACATATATCAAAGAATCATTTATATGATACTTCAGACAGGACAACATTTATCATACCATTTGTACTGATTTATACTGACACATGTCTAGACACCTAAATGTATCCCCATTTATAAAGATACATGCCCGAGACATTATCCTCCAACTTGTATCACTGTTCACCTCTTGCTTGCCCATCTTTAACTTTACCCTCTGATATAGTAAGTATAAGAGTGATCTTTCTTCTTTTTTTCTATATTTTTTCATTTCTCTGTTTTCATTCTGTCACTTAAAGCAGCGATTATGTCAGAATATTCAATATGGCCGGTAGCCGGTTATGTGTGAGCTGGTGAAATATATTATGTAATAATTCTACGTGTGTATAATCAACTTATTGTGCCTAAATACTTCCAGCAACGACAAATTGCATTTCTGGTGGCGAATGTTGGCTTTGGTGCCTCTAGCAACTGCCATATGCATTTACTGCGTGTGCATATTTCTGGATTGTTCCTAAACCAGTTGTTTGTTCAGCAGTTTCTCTTATGGAAAAGTGAGGGACATTTCAGTTGATTTTCACTGGCACAGAAAAGGAACAAGTATGGGAAAACCTGATTGCAGTGAAGTTAAAACCTCGATTACAACTTTAAATAAAAGGCTTCTCTCTGCCTTGGGGTGCATGGTACTAGCCTCATATTTTTACACACAAATCTGTACTTGGCAAGCTCTACATTTTGCTGGCAGCTTGGACCTCTCAGGATATTCCTGGTACCCCTATTTTAGGATGGGCTGACCTGGAAACAAGGTCAGCTTACAAAATCTGTCCTGATGCAGATTTAAACACATGACCACCAAAGTTGCAGAGGCATGTGCACTAACCACTGGGCTGCCACAGCTCTAAAAGCTCTGGATCTGACAGTTTCCATGAAATATGACACTTCCTTCAGCGTATTCACATCTTCAGGGAGAGATGGCTCTTAAATTATAGAAGAACAGAATCTGCTGCAAATAAATACTCCAAACAAAGATTAATAACAGACAGCAAGACAAAGCTGGCTCACAAAAGATCAAGACAATACTAACAGAGCCAGAAAAGAGGTGGAAAAGGAGAGGAAGAGAGACAGACAGAGATACATACTGGCCACCCTGGAAAATTTCCTTCAGCCCACACTTTTTCAAATTCTGCCTGCACTTGCTCCATTTCCTGAAGAAAAAAAAATATTTAGCTGTTAACATATCTTAAAAGGCCAGTAATTATTACTGTATTATATGGTTTACAGTGTCACTTATTACCAACATTTGGTGGAAAAAACACTATATTTTGTCTTAATATATTAACAAATGGTAAAGAATATGCTATATTTATTTTAGCCTCATAAATTATCATTTAGTAGAAAATATTCTATATTACTTTACCTTCATAAATTAACAAATGACAGAAAATTTATATTATTACCCTCATAAATAAACCTATAGTAGAAAATATACCACAGGATATTTTACTATGTCCCAAATGACCAAATGGTAGACAATATACTACACCACAGACCTCCCTCATGTTTACCCTTATATAATACAATGCAAAATACTTGTTAGGAATACATATATATATATATATATATATATATATATATATATATATATCTATATATATATATATATATATATATACACACACATACACACACGTGTGTATATATAAAATAGGGATCTGTCAAAAGTGAGTTTTCACAGAAAGATCTATCAATGGTGATACACTTTAGACTGTCAATGGTGACCCAAATAAGATTGTTACTGGTGATACATCTTATAAAGATTTGTCAGTGGTAATTTACCGTAGGGAGATCTACCAAAAGTGATTCACCCAGGCAGATTTATTAAAAGTGACCTACCTCAGGGAGATCTGTCAATGGCTTTATCTTAGAGATGTATTCACCCAGATAATCCAACAAGAACACCAGGTAGCTGCAAGCAAAATTAATGTGGTCACAATCAACATCGTGTCAGGCCACATCCAATATCAGCAAGTATATGTATAGCACACTGAAATCAGCATGTATATGTATAGCACACTGAAATCAGCAAGTATATGTATACCACACTGAAATCTCTTATTACACATTACAAAAGGTGCACTTTATCTCCACTATTGCCAATTCCAAGCCTAGATGAGAAAGTGAAAGGGTTGGAAGTAGGGCTAGCTCCCTCACCCTGTTCTTAAGCTGCAGAAACACGCAAGAAATAAGAGAAATGCCTGGGCAACCACTGATAACAACAGTTATAAGACGGATAAAAAGGCGCCTGATTGGAAATATCCCGACAAGAAACTAGCAGAGACTTATCAAACAGGCATTAAAATAGGAAAAAAAAGGTGTTGGGGAAACGAGGAAGTCCAAAAAAAAAAACCTCAAATAAATTTTGATGACAGAGGCCAAAGATGCTGGACTGGATTCCATCATATTGAACTGACTGCACAGGACAGAATGGAGAATCAGATTGCGCCCTATGTGACATTTCATGGCACAAGGAAACAATAATGGGTGCTTTCTTAATATCCTACCCTAAACAGTGGAAAACCATGGGTAACGGGACATACTAATATTTCAGGGGGGGTAGGGGTAACGGGACATACTAATATTTCAGGGGAGGGGGTAGGCTGCATGGTCGTGGGATCTAAGCTGCACTCCCTCATGGGTTGGGGTTAGGGCTAGTTCTAGATGTTTAGGGGTTGTTAAAAGCCTCAGTCTTACCACCCTCTGAAATGTTGGACTGTCCTGTGATGTCATCTGGGGTAGTATATTATGAAAGAACCCAATGATGATGAAAAGATGCATTTTACCAAGGACAATTTTTTTTTTTAAATGGTGTCACTGTAATCTTTCAAATATGTGAGGAGACTAAGTTTATATAAATACTTCATCCACATTTTATGCAACCAGCACAGAGTTTCAATTCCAGTGATACCAGTAGCAGTCAGTATGTGTGTCTTTGTCTTTCCTCCGAGTGCCACATGTTGGTTAAATTCCCTTAGGGGTGTGGTATGACAATCAACCAACAGCCTCTTAACATCCTGTTAAAGGTAACTAATTAAGGGTGTGCTGCAACTGAATGTGTTGGGTCGAAAGATGTAGATAATGCAGTCGAGCTGACATTAACACAACATGCTATCCACCCGTTTTAAAAAAAAATAATTAAAGAATAAAAATACAAATTTGGAGGTTGAATGAATATTTTTAGACAAACTGATGTATTTTTGACACCAAGAAATTAGCTGCAAAATAATTAACACATGGCTTAGGCATTACGAACTCCATAATTCTGAAGTACCTGGCCCGATTCCAGCTGCAGGCAATTTGGCGTGTTATACTGATTTCAGCCACAGTATTGAGAACCGGCCATTCAGATAGCAATGACAAATTACTAAATATAAAACTGCCTAGTAATATAAAATAAAAATACAAAATTCCAATTATAGGCTGGGTTCGGTCCTCAACATCATGTAAAGGGTACGCGACTAACGTAACTGCTGTTGATCATAATGAAACAATAAACCAAAGTTCTCTGTTTAAAAAAAAACATCTTACTCTCTGTAGGCAGCATTCTTTCTGTCTTTTGGGATGTCATACAGGTGGTCAAATGTAGACAGGTATGAAATGTAATCAATTTTCTGGGGAAAAAATATATACAACAGTGCATTGTTTTATTGCCAGTTATATTTAGTTTTCCTTAGTTCTAGTGGCTGCATGAATGATTTTGCGCAAAAACATCTTGATATCTTCACAATATCATTTTTTTTCTTCTGTCTTTTGTCTCTAAAAGGGTGGTTTAAACCTTTTAGCTGACAAAATCCTACCGTGTTAAATTTTTAATTAGTCACTTTTTACATGACTAAGTCCTTTGAGTCTACTGAGCCCAGAACCCACTCTGAGAATTTGCTTCCAACTGACATGCCCTTAGTGTGATTCTTTTTCCAGGTTGTCTCAGAATGTGTCAAAAAAATCACAATATTTGCCTCTCCTGTTTATGTGATGAGCATTTTAAAAAAAACCCATAAATATATGGATGTAAAGGTGCTCTAATATAATAATAATACTAATATAGAATTTGGTGCTATTATTCCTTTTGTCTGAAAGAAGAGTGTTTGGAAGGGCCAATTGAACAAGCCCAATTTGTGACCCTCTGAAAAAAAAAAGTTTGTTCATTCGTACATGTAAAGATCACTCAAGAGTATGATATCACTTACGAAGTAGTTAATTCACATCTACATGAGACAGATCACTTATGTTTTTCTCTCTCTGCAGATATAATAGGGAATCAACAACACAAGTGCACCAATAACATCTCATCAGCCCCAGAAGATTTTAACAGCAGATACCCAAAACAAGAGTTAACCAACAAGGAGGGAGTGTTGGTTGTGAAAAGAGAGATATTCTACAAAGGCCTAGGTTTAAACAAAAAAAAATAAGGACCATTTCCACGTCTTTGGCACACTGAGCGAATGTTAGCCCTATATCTTGATATGCCAACTAGTTCTCAATGGATGATGTGATGAACATCACGCAGGAAGGTCACATATATAATGCATATTTACCTCAATACCCTTCAGATTCAGGAAATGCACGTAGCACATGTGCAGATCCAGATATTTGCCATAGCCTTCCTCGTCAGAAAACTCCACCATATCTGCAAAAGAATAAAGGATACCAAAATATTACAATAAGGGATGCCTGGAATATACAAAGGATACCAGTGGTGCAGTTGCACTGCTCAAAGGTTAGTGAATGTGGTTAACAATTCCATGACTCTTAAGTAATTATTAGGGATTGCTCACTGTTGTGGATGGCTAAAAATATATTTATATATATAAATCGTTCTCATGGTTTTCAGACAATGGTACGAGAATCGTGCATTGGAAGAGACTGGGGCCTAACCATGTTATATTTCCCTTAAAAAAAGTGGGACACTGTAGAAAGCCTTCCTTGTGGAGACAGGGCAGAATTTTTATTTCATTTTACAACAAGGGATACTGTGTAACAAGGGATACTGCAAAATTGTTATTTTATTTTATAAGAAGAGATACCAACATATTATAACAAGGGATACCAACATATTATAACAAAGGATACCCACATAATATAAAAATAGATACCAGAATATCATAACAAGGGATACCATCTATTATAACACCAACATATTATAACAAAGAATACCCACATTTTGTAAGAAGAGATAGAGCATATCGTAATAAAAGAGATCAGCTATTATACCGACATATTCGCTCGCCTACAGACTGAAAGGTCATGGGCTTGGGGTTCTGGCAGAACTGGGCTTTTTGTGTGTGTGTAAAATGACCTGAACTGTCAGCCATAAATAAAGTCGAACAGCGTGATTTTGAACACATCAGCCGCCGCATGCCGACTGGTCTATAATATACAGATATATAGCCCTATATGCCCGAAGGCACCTAAAAGGGTCCTTTACTTTTTTTTTTTACTTATACAAACATGTTATAACATGGGATACCTGCACTTTCCTGAAGTCTTAATTACAGAAACTTCTCTCGCCACTTCTTTACCTTTGCAAAGGTAGCCACACTTATATTCTGGTACCTTGGTACTAAGTACCAACCTGATCCCAAAAGATGCAAGAATTTAATAAAGAGCGGGAGATCCGTGAAAACTTTAAGCTAACTTTGATAGAAAACATATAAAGATCAACAAAGTCTCAAACAGAATGTAACCTTTGTTCTGAGAGTGCCAGTTGAACTACTTGTCAGGGTTTTAGGCAGAACCCTCAAATAAGAACTTCAGGTAGTCGCTGCTACACCTTTACAACAGCTTTGGTATTGTTTATGACTGAGTAGTTTGTAGACGAGCTTAGTCTGATTGTATCACTAGAAAATAGCATCTGAGGGATATTTGGGTGGAAAATGTCTTTTTAAAAGATGTGGCATCTTTTTGTTCCACATAGTTACACCTACAAAAAAAAATTTTTTTTTTAATGAGTAAAGGGGGATGAATGCTCTGTTTGTATTCACTGATTATTTCCCCTAATGTAGGGCTGTACCAGACAGGAACACAATTTGTAATTACTTTTGCCTGTGTGCTCGGTTGTCATAGGATTTAATCCTCTAAAAATGTTTACTTTAAAATTTACCAATATTTTAAACTTTCTTTCTAATAATTTGTGAACGTGTCATTTTTTAAGATTATTACAGGGCAAAATGGTTTAGCATAGGCTTGCTGAAAACGTAATAAAGAACAACAAAATAACTCACTCTGTGCCTCCTCTGTAGGATTTTCTCTCTGTCTGGCCAGCTCATCGAACTCTATAGACATTGGGATGCTGACCTGCAAACAAACAAAAGGACGACCCGACTGAATGAAGTAGTTATTTTATTTCTGAAACATTAATTTAGTGTTGTAATCATGACATTAAAACTGTTCCAATATGTATAAAGACTACCATAATATAGTGCACCACAGAGAATGCTGTCACTTAGACATTACAGAAGTAGAGGTAAAGGTCCCCCCCGCCTCCCCTATGCAAGCAATGGATAGTTGAAATATCCAAGGCTGTGAATACCAGCATCTACGTAGCACACACCATGACTCTTAGTAAATGCTTCTTCAAAACCTGGCACTTCTTCCTCAGCAATCCGAATCCTTGAGGTTCACTGCCGCTGATACCACCCACCTTCAGACATCTACATAACTGACCTTTTCTTTCAAACCTGGCACTTCTTCTTCCTCAGCAATCCGAACCCTTGAGGTTCACTGCTGCTGATATCAGGCATCTATATAAATGGCCTTTCTTTTTTCTAACTGGGAGCTCCGAGTGTCTGTAGGTCTGCCTTCATATTATCTCTCCACTATGGTCTTCCTCATGGTCTACCCCCATTCAAGTCTTTTGTGCAGGCATTGTTTGCCTATCATTATCTCTATATGTCCCAACCACTGTAATCTATTATGACCTTAGCTCCCAGGTCGACCCAGCCTTAGATGGGTAACAGATAAAGTCCTGGGAAGTAAAAGTGGCTGGCATAATGTTAACCAATTCACCCACTAAGTGCCGGTTGGTATATAAAATAGTCTAATCATATATCCCCAACATGTCGTTGAGGGTCCTTTACTTTACTGTAGACTATTTCATACTGCCAGTAATTTATGCAAAATAATGTAGCGGCTAGATGCTTGTCTCGAGCAAAAAGATGGTTCAAATCTGCACTGAGTCTGATTGATTCTGACTGTCGTACCAGGAACTCAACTCAGTGACTGGACGACAGAACTATATACTCTCTGTCACATGTGGGGGAAAATATGATTAACTATAGTCAGAAGCAAACAACTTGTCACAGCTCAAAACAGTCAGCATGTCTATTCACCATATCACAGGATATGTCTGAGCTTTAAAAGCCTTTGCTTCCATGCAGCTTTAAGGACACAATAGTATTAACGAGATATGATAAAAACTTCTTTACTGATTCCAAACCAAGCAAATTACAACAGAGGGACCACAGTTACAGCCAAAATAGATACAAGATTGCTCATTCTTACCATAGTACATATACAAATGAAATTCCTAGACCATACTAACAGACTGGGATGAACACAGATATATATTAGCATGAAAATACTAGACAAGAAAGACAGATTAGGATAAAGAAACTTTTGTGGAAAACTTAAACAGCTGGGCAACAAACAATAAAATTACCAACATTAAATTTATTAAAATATTAATTCAGAGGACTAAAGAATCAATGTCTGCTCTAGGTAAAGCGTATGAATAATAATTTTACCTCATTTGGATGCTTGCGATAGAAATTTTCTATTGCTATCAGCCTCTTCTTGAACTCAATGTATTCATTTGGACCAGCCAAGGTCTGAATTTCTTCTTTTCGAACTCTAAAAGAAAATATAAATTAAAAGGTTAGAAAAAAAATCACCCAGTTATGAACCCTTCTATTTAAGTAGCAAGTGTATGATACTCAATGTGTGACACCAGTTACGAACCCCTCTATTTCACTGGTCAGTGTGTGATACCCAGTGTTGCTCTATTCCTACAAGTGGGTGACATCTAGTTATCTAACATTCTATTTTAGAGGTCAGTGGTATTAATAGGAAAATTACCCTCGGAAGTCTCCAGATTTGGTACTGGAATTTGCCTAGGAAACTCACCAGATTTTGCAATGTAATTCCCCTATGAAAATCTCCAGAGCTGGCACTGGAACTATGTCAAAATACATGGAAAAGAAAATTACAGGCAGAGATTAATCAAACTGGCAAAGCTCAGGTGGTGTCGATTGATTGAAAAAGGACTGAAAGTCTGGACATAAGTTAGTTGAGTGTCTAGAGCAGCGATTCTCAACCTGTGGATTGCAACCCTTTTTTGGGGTGGGGGGAGGGGGGGTGGGGGTCAAATGACACTTTCACATGGGTCGTTTTAGACAATCGGAAAACACACACTCATTGAAGTTATAAAGGAAAATAATTGTTTGGGGGTCACCACAACATGAGGGAACTGCATTAAAGGGTCACAGCGTTAGGAAGGTTGAGAGCCACAGGTTTAGAAGAAGAAACCATAGGAATACTGCATGCATTATTTGAAATGAGAGGGATGGAAGATCTTACCCATCTTTATCCTCATAGAGCTCCTTCAATTCTCTGCTCACTTCTGCATATCTCTGTAAAACAAAATATAGTATCGATGTAAAGAGCAAATACATTACACTGCACCTGAATATACATCAAAATAACATGTTGCTAAACATTAAACAGAACTAAAGTAAGGATCAAAAACAAGGAGAATGACTTCAATAGATTACTCTATTTTTTGCCTTCTACCTCACCAACAAAAATGGAGTACAGATCTTCAGACAAAGTGTGCCCTACTCCGTGTGTTCTTTGGTCTTTGACCCTGCTGGTTCAAATGTAAGGATGTTACAGATATATTATCAAATTCTCTTGTGTTCCATCCAGCACTAGCATCTTTTCCTCATCTTTCAGCTCACTGGAATCAGTTTAGTTCTTCCTCAAAGCTCTATAAAACTGATTCTGATAAGCCATTACATTTCCTTCTATTGTGCAAATGGGTGCCAGTTTATTCAAGTCTGCAGCACAGTGGTTCTCAATCCTTGCTAATACTGGGACCCTTAATATAGTACCTCATGTTGTGGTGACCCTAAACCATACAATTTGTTTCGTTGCTACTTCATAACTTTAGTGAATATGTGTTTTTAATGGTCCTAGGTGACCTCTGTAAAAGTGACCTCTGTGACTCCTAAAAGTGTGGCAACCAAAGGCTGAGAACTGCTGCTGTAACATGTTAGTAGCTTTTAGTCAGTCATATTTCTGCTCCACACAGTAAGACAGCAGAGCTGAAAATTCAGGGTGGTTCCAGGATTTTATTTATTTTAACCTCCCTAGATTTCCTAATGCTCTGTAAGTTCCTTTTGTGGTTTTTATTTGCATTCATCTACAACAATAAAACACTTAAGAAGAATTTGAACAAAGAAGACACAATTTATTGCCTGGCATATTTTTCTGTATCTCGTCAGGTGCATACTACAGTAACAATTACATAAATGAAGCAAATAAGTAAATCCTTTATAACAAGCACAATTACAACAACAATCAAACATGACTGTCCGTTAAGACAGAACCATCTCTTTCTGAATACAGAGTTCCGGGCAAAATAAGCCAGGCAATAAATTGTGCAATCTATTGTTTGTGTCTTCTTTGTTTAAATTTACAATAGGGAAATATTGCTTTGAACTTAAGGAGAAGCAAACCCTAGTAATGAAACCAACTTGCAAGCACTACCAAGAGATGCTACTGCTGCAGCTCTATCCTTTGAAGATTATGAGCAATAACTTCTGTATAAACACAAACAAAACAATACCCTGGTGATCATAGGGTCAAATTTTACCAAGCAGGATTTTTACAAGTGATCTGGGATCCCAGCTCAACCCAGACTAACCAGGCTATCAGGAAATATGGACCAATATCTTCTCTGTTCATCTGAGGATTAACCACTTTACTTCCATTTACAGCATAACTGCACATTTGTGCTTTGGGTTCTTCTTCCTTTCACTGGAAAGTTCTGGTTTTTCATCCATTTCAAGACTTTGGTCTTGTTCCAGATTTTTGTATGCACATCTATTTTACAGATCTGGCTTAAATGAATGCAAACTGTTGATACCTTGCCCTGCAGACAGATGCACTCTCGACTTCAAAGGAAACACACCTAATTGATCGACTCCTATGACATGTTTGTTGGGGTGGGGGGGGGGCAGTGAGTCTATTTTCCCCCCATAATGTGATCCCAGAACCTAAACGGGGAGTGCTCTGAGCTCAACAAATATAACTTCTTTGGGGCATTTGTTTCTCGTTTAAGTCTTCTTCCTGGCTAGTTTCATGGGACAATGCCAGAGCCGATTCATAGCACCCTGGTACTGAGCTCACCCAAGAAATTGTCACATTCTGCCCACGACTGTTTAACCTCATTTCCGTATGTTTGAGCTCTTACTCGTAACAGGCTCGTGTCTTGAGACTGGGCCAATAAAACAGTTACTGGAAGTCATGGTAGATGTGTAGCTATATGCATAACTTTGCCTTAATATCAGGTTCAAATCCATGCTCCCAGCTCAACTAAAGGCAGGCAACACGATGATAATGATTTATCTATAACAAATTGAGTGTGTATGTGTGTGCTTTGCGGTTTTGATTCTCCATTATTTGAGGTTTGTGAACCTATGAATTAGGGCCTAAAAGCATTTCAACATCTGACCATTAGTATTTGGTTTGAAGAACAGAAGTGTGTGTCATATGTGATCAAATACTACCAAATTAGAGTAGAGAAAGATGTCTGTGAAAAGCTAAGCAGCATTTAATATAATTAAATAAGCTTCATGAAAATAAAGGGTAAAAGGTGAAGGGGGGTCATGATGGCCACTGTCTTCTCCAGATCTGGCAGCTGAAGTAGAAGCAGTAGATCTGTTGAATTTGCTGTTGATTACACATGCAACTGGCAGTAGATTATAGTAGGGTGGATCAGCAAATTAACTTACATCATGAAGAATCTTTAGACGATGGTCTGAATTAATTTGTTCTCTCATCTGAAATAAATAAGTGCCCAGATTTAGCAAGATAAACATGGCAGATAAGTTTTTGTGTATGTCTATGTAAAATGTGTCTGTCTGTGCGCACACTATGTCTGTACAGAAACGCACACCTTCCCGGCAATGTTTACATGTTTTCAATTCTTATTCCCCCAGTGAGACATATGTTTGTTTTCTTTACTAACAAATGTTACAGTGAAACATGAGCAAATTCTGATGAAGCAAGTCAGTGCCATCTTCAAGATCAAGATATCAGACACTCAGCCAATTATCAGAATAGTCTGTAGGGATGGCAGCCGCATCCTGAGAATTTCCAATTTACTGTGACACTGACTATGATTTTTTTCTTTCAAATTGAAACCATTAAACTCCAATAATATTGCTGTTGCATGCAAGCATTAACAATTGTACTATGTAACAGGTTATATCTGAATGCTTGTGTGTGCACATACATATGTGTGTCAAGTACTTAGAGATGTTTCCTTCGAAGTTGGAGTGCATCTGCCTGAGATTCAAGGAACCAACAGTCTGCATACGAAAGAGCAAATTTGTAAAACAAATCGTGATCATCATCACAAACCACTTCTGCCATTAGGCGTTGTGGGGAAGAATAATTTGTGATCCAGTGCAAGCTGGCTGCCACTGGCTATTGTCATGCCGTGAAGGCGTAGAGTGACTTTAATGTTGTTGATCCATTTTTTCACGGCCGTCCTCTTGCTCTTGTACTTGTAGCTGATCTTCTGAGATGTAGTCCTTGTGATGGTATTTTATCTTGCTGCATTCTAATGAGATGACCAAACCACTTAATCTGCTGCTTGTCTGACAGTATCATTATTCATTCGATCCCAGAGGGTTGAGTTGGCAGCCTATCTAGCAAGTATAAAACAGATGTGCTCGCAAAACAAGACTAAATTCCAGTAGTGGATGAATAACCACAACCTTCTAATTAATAGTATCCCCACTTATAGTTTGATAGAGGAATAGAATCATGTGCAGTCAGATTTTATTTTGAAAGTCTTTTTTCTTCAGAGATAATTTAAAAAAAAAAAAAATTTACACGAATTAATTATAGGGGTAGGAGGTTGCAGGACAGAAGATAGAAAAAATGAAAATGAAATCCAGTTGTACCTGATTTTAGTTGATGTGACTTGAGCAATTTCAACAACTCTTAAACATACTATTTGTAACATTATAGAGTGCAAAAAAAGGGCTCGCTAATGCGGTTTTGTAGAGTGCAAAGAAAGGGCTTTCCTTGAATAAAAAAGAAACAATTAAAATGAAAATATACTATAGACAAGAGAAAGACAAAACTGAAACACCAAAATGTGATACTGTAACAGAAGGACTGGCTAACCAAGTCAGCAAATGTAAAAACTGGATGGTAATCAGTAATCGTACATAGATGGAATATGCAGACAATAATAATACCCCCAAAAAAACAGGTCAAGCAAAAGTAACATTTTACAAGATAAAATTCAAATAAGTGAATGCCACAATTTCATCATGCCACCTTTGCGAATATGTATAGATTATGTCAGATCTGTCAGCAATTGTCTGATACCATTTCATACTAGTCATACTGCATGAATAAGAATAAGACTTATTAAGTAAAGTTTGGTGAGAAAGGCAAAGTATATATTGTAGGGCTGTACCGAATAGTGATTTTCACTATTCGGCCGAATACGAATAGCTGGACCAACTATTCGGCCGAATACGAATAGTGAATCATCATCATCATGTGCTTTGCCGGCTGGCATGGACAATTATGCCTCGCCACAATCTGCGATCTCCTGCAGCACGTATTAGTTCGTGTGCTGACACACCTCCATGAAAAACATTTGTTCCATGTTGTCAGCATTAGGCCAGCTTTTTGTCTCACTGAAGGTATTTCCAGCTGTACTAAACAGGAAAATACGACAAATACATAGTCAAAATGAAAACCCGCAAGGCGAAACATCAAAAACAAAAATAACACCGACGAAGAAAACAATGCCGTCCTTACAAGTCGCCCAGCCCCCCGCGAGCTCACGAAACCAGACCCCGGGCGGCCAACGCCAGAAGATCAAACAACAAAGACAATCAAGAAACCGAACGTCGATCAAAACATTCAGCCGCTGCCGTTTCCACGAGACGACGAAAGAACAGATACGACACCCATAAATGATGACAAACTCCCGTTACTTCAAAGAATCAACGAAGAGGACACTCCACTCAAAGAAATCAAGCCGACAACACTACTCGCAACACATGCAAGATGGAAATAAAGGGGCACTTGGTACGCTCGTAGGTGGTGCACAAAGATAACGCTTCACAGTATAGACCAAGGTGGGAAGTCTTGATGTTTTTTTCCACCAGTCCAGAAACCGTTGTGAGGTAACCACTATTCATATTCGGCCTGACCGCAACTATTCGGCCGAATACCGAATAGTTATTGGGTCCACTATTCGGCCCCAAAGCGAATACGAAGCGAATATTCGGTACAGCCCTAATATATTGTAATAATTACAAAACTATCAAAATTTATTAAGTGATTAGTATGAACTATTAAATTTAATTATGTGTGGGAAAAAAATATAGTCCAAAAACAAAAGTTTTGAGTAACGAAGGAGTTAAAAATCAACACACACATACTACACAGTTTAAAAAAAAAGACATAAAAAAAGTGTAGTGACACTTCTATAGTCTTAACTCCTTAACAGCAGGGCTAGTCAACTACTCAACTAGGTTTGTTCAGGGGCCAAAATTTTGAAAATCAAAATGGGGATCGTTACAGGCCCAAGGCTGGAGTCCCAGCATATGAATATCATTAAAACAATACAGCTGGCACTCCTATGCGGGCCGCTTGCTAGGCTTCCGCAGGCCGTCAGTTGAATGGCCCTGCTCTACTCTAATCTACAGACTATCAGAAGCTGCAACTGCACTTGCTCACTTGCCGACTTCACACACAAATCACAATCAATGATGCGCCGTCATCTAGGGACCACAGATCCGGAAATTTGCTATCTTTTCGACAATTTCCGTTACCATAGAAACCGTTTAAAACTTGTTTCGGAAATGTCGGCTGGGGTTTCGGGATGGGTCCTTATCTCTCATGAAATTTTGCCATTGGTGTGATTTTCACCCACTCTAAATAGCTGAAAACGGCGGGAAGGAACCCGATTAACAGCGCATGTCTACGACAGCCGGACATTCTCTGTTTTTCTGTTAGTCTATCAGTTTGATTGAAAATAGCGGTAAATTCGAGGTTGGCTTTAGGCTTAAACATTACCAGTTGTGGTAATGCTAGTTACAATTGAATTCTCCGTCCAATTTTACATTTACATATTAAATTTTTTTTCCCGACTCTGGCTGTTTAGATTTACAGTGACATTTTTTAGGCAATCGCATGCGGCTGAGTGAGCTGAGTCTCACTGCCTGCCATCTTGTCCAATGACAGTCCAATGTCAACAAAGCCGATACAGAACTGCGCAGTAGGTTGCGCAGTAAAAAACTTCTTGTTTCTGGGTCACAAGTTTTAGCGGCTGTTTCTTACATCTCATCTAAACAAAAACCTACATATCTCAGCTCAGAAATGACATACAAGCCTAAATGAGGTACCATTGGAAAGAGATTGTTTACAGCTATCTAACTGTGCTGGTTTTATTGGTGTAGAGGGCATTTTAAAAATTTGACTGAAGTAGCTACGTCATCCGTCATCAGTCATCTGGAGGCGACGTCACGCACGACAGGACTGAATATTATAACTTTCGATTTTACTCCCTCGTTTATATATAAAATAATGCTAGTCAATACAAATAGGTCTTTATTTGTTTACAATCATAATCATACAAGTCAATTCGCATACGGCAACTACTCTACTCTTCTCACCGTTTTCTTCTGTGCCAGCATTTCACTGGTCATGGCTTCCATAAGTCTTTCTCTCTCTTCATGGCACCGCCGCTGTTGTTCTAGAATAGATTCCATGGCAATATAAACTATTACCTGTGTAAAACTGTAACTACAATCCTCTAACACATATATAAAGTAACGAACTGAACAGCAAATAACTGTCGGGTTTAGACAATGTTTAACAAAACGTTCAAGAGTTGCTTCCGGAAGCGGAAACAGAGGTTAAACAAGAAACGACGTAAATGTAATTAAACATCCATTGAAATAATTTTAATCAGTAAAAGAAAATATTAACAGATTGTTGTATTGTGAACTGAATGTTTTTGTTGATAAATATATAAAAATGTTGCAATAAATTGATAAAGTAAAAGTATCAAGAATAAAATAAAATATATTAAAATTGTTTCTATACTTTCTACAGCGGGCCCTGTGGCGCAACGGTAGCGCGTCTGACTCCAGATCAGAAGGTTGCGTGTTCAAATCACGTCGGGGTCATCTACATTTTTAAAACTTTTTTTTTTCTTGTTCGTTCATCACAAGTAATGAAGACCACTTTTCATCTAAAGTAACAGTGATTATAAGTAGGAAGGCGGCTGATTAGTTCCATATGAGCCCGGACAATTCTTGAGCAGCACGGACAACAGGTGGTAGCCGCAGTAAGTGGAATATTAGCAGTACGGTTCTTTTACCAATTCGTCTTGTTCCTGTCCGATAACATCCAGTGTATTACAGCAGGAGTGCAGCAGGAGAAAATCAACCCTGAGCTTCATGAACTCAGGTGGTCCCACTCTCTGAAAATGTCTAGGAGCTCGTGGGCCGAAACATTTGTCGACGAAAGATTACTTCTACTGCCTCCGTTTCTCTGTGCAACCTCCGTTGCCTGGCTGGCTGATGCACCATGTCTAAGTAATGTACGCCATCTAGAGCGGTCATGTGCAGCAGCCTCTTACGTCGCTGTTTTGATGCCAACAGAATTTAGAGCAGTTTTGAGAGTGTCCTTAAAGCGCTTTCCTTGCTGAAGCTCGCAATGTCTCTCTTTGGGAGGTGAAAGTCTGACATGTAGGCTAGTTGGCCAGCCCAACGCAGCTGATAATTCTTCAGTATTGTGTGGTTTGCCCTATCAAAAACCACAGTGTTTGGGATCCTGTCGTGTCATTTGATTTTGAGCAGATTTCTGAAACCTGTTATATGAAACTGATTCAACTTTTTAGCGTGGCGCTGATACGCAGTCCACGTTTCGCAAGTGTGGAGTAGTACTGGAAGAATTACAACTGGACGAAAGCGACTTGCTCAGGGACTTTGATTTAAGTGAGGAAGAGTTGCGCAATTCGTCGCCCTCATTGTCTCGCCTGTGTCCATCTTAATCCAACTGCAGGACAATGTCGAGACGATTGGAAATGGACCTAGGTGCAGTGGATGACCAAGCGTCCTACGGGCCCTGCGTTGCTCGAAGCTGGTAATCGCCTTCTTGTTCGTTGAACAATAAGAGGTTTCATCCGCACAGTTTCTTCCCTACAGCTTGTAGTCAATGCGTGGCAAAAAATATTCGCTGTAGCTTCCTCTTCTTCTCCTTCCCTCCTCATCCTCTTCCCTCTTCTGAGCTTCATCGGCAGTAAACCTTAGAGAAAAAATGTTAATTGTTTTCGCTCACTTCCAAAATTTTAATTTTGCCTGCACATCCGTTTTACAGATCTGAAATGTCTTGCAGACTGTTCCAATTCCAATTCCTTTTGGGGGAAAAAAAAAATCAAAAACTCAACCACGTTCAACCTGCTGCTAGCTAGCCGAAGCTGCCAACAGTCACCGGCTATATTTGTGGTCTTGTTTATTTGCGCCACTTTCGTGGCTAAAGTTCTGGTGTTTGCGCCGTCTCTGGGCCTAATGCTTCTTTCCTCCATGTCAGACCGCCATCATTTATAGTTTTAAAATTTTGAGTTTTTTACTTTGCCGAGTTTGGATAGACTCGAAATGTGAAACTATTCCGCGTGTGACCATAGTTTTCTTATAGTTGTCTTCCTGCAATAAGAACAGGTTAATCATGTCATGGAGATGTGCGTGAAATGTTAGGTGAAGCCTCGCAATGATTCTATCTGTCTTCTGTTATAGTGTGGTCCGACTGTGTTGGTTTGGACTGGTAGCTAGGCTCTGATGTACGTAAATATCAGATCCATGGAATGCGCATCACGTCACCAGACTTTACCGTCGTACCATTTGGGGGAGGAGGGGGGAAATTGCTGCTAGGTGCTCTTTTCCTGTCAGTATCGATCCATTTGTCTTCCCTGTTTGCTGTCAGTCTTATCCTATTGTGAGTCCCATCAATCATGTTTATGAAATAATATGATAATAAGTATGAATCCCTGGGGTATATGGATGTACACCATCAAGTATATGTATACATACACCAGAGCATATATCCACTCACACAATATTACATGTGTGCACTCCCTTTCACACATATATATGCATGCATAACTATATGGATACATACCTATTTGACATTTCCTACACTTGCGTCCTCCTTCATTCCGCGTGTGACCTATCAATGTTCTGATAGTTGTCTTACCTTCATGTAAGAACATGTTTCATGTCACCCGTAGGGGTGTATAAAATCCACATTCATTCACATGTCTGCATCTACGTCGTGTCTTCTACTAACTAGTGTTGCTCCACACAGATTGTGCCATTATTGTGACGACTCTTGTAGTCCTTTAGTGTCATGAGTATACGTAATTGTCAGATCCATGTCAGTTCGTGTTAAGTATTTGGTTATGTCACCGTCCAACCATTTGACCTGTCCGTTATGTTGCTAGCACGTTCTGATGTGTGATGTGGGTGGAAGTGATGATGATGATTTGTCTTCTTGTTTGCTGTACGCTCCTCATTACATTTATTCTCACTAATCATATTTATGGTGGAATATGATTCGTAATATCTTGGGGTATATGGATTACCATCAAGTATATGGTATACACACATGAAAGAAATTACTCACGGCGACTATCAATTGCTCTTCAAAGACACATATGTAAACAACTGAATAAATTATGGAATTGTACAGATAGAATTACAAAGGTCAGATTTTTTAAGAGCATGCATCTTTCCCATTGCAACCTACGCCTGTGATGACCTGGACACTTACTAAACATGGAACAGCGCATAAATGCATTTGAATATAATGTTCCACAGACAGGTTCTAAGAATATCTTGGGTAAAGAAAAGAACAAATGCATCCATACTAACTAGAGCTGAATGCTGAAGAGGGTTGTGCTATTTGTAAAGACAATAAAACAAAGAAAATTGAAATATTTTGGTCACTTAGAAACGTCATGGAGGTCTTAGAGAGAACAATATGGAGGGGTATATGCGTGGGAAGTAGGAAGAGGAAGGTCAAGGAGAAGACTTTTGCACCTGTGGCAGATTATCTCCAGATGGGTGTATCAGACGCAGGACATCTTGCTCATGATAGGAAGGTTGATCCGGAGGGTTGTTATGGCTTGAGTACGCTTCTTATTACATGCTACTGAATGAATCACTGAATTTATAGGTTCGAACAATTTCACAAGTATTTATGCACCCGTTCATCCTGTAGTCCTGTGCAAACATATCACTTATGGATCCCCGGAGTGTATGGTTGCACACAGCCAGGTGTACGCCTCCGTACATCCAAATCTCCACATTCAGACGGACGGTTGGTGGTTATGGGTTGTATCCTTCTTGTAGTTCTTGCCCATACCTTTCCATATACTAGCACATTTATACATCTATATAGTCGTTCATATATGCCTTCGCTCGTCTATATCTCCTTTTTTATATCGATAAGTGAACCCATACCATTCGCATTATACACACTTTCTGGTGTATTCATCCTATACATTTGTGCACTTTTACAATTCTCGTATACATATACTTCCTTATGCATAAGTAAATACCTGCTCTCACTTGCAGATTGTTGGTTCCTCGCCCCTAAGGCAAACGCATTCCAACTTCAATAAAAAGACCTCTAATTTGTCGACATTTATGCCAATGCTTGTTAAAGAGCAGTGGGTCCGTTCTTCTACCCCCCCCCCCCTTTCCAGTGGGGTCGTGGTCCCCCCTCCCCTCCAGTATGGACCATACTCATCACAATCTGGTTCTATAAGGTTAAAGTCGAGAGGATCGACTTCATTGTATGTTTACAGACGGCGGCATGTCTGTGCCCCCGCAGAACGGTTGCCGCATGCCAAGAGTACGAACTCTAAACTCCGGCGATGATGTTGAGAAATGTGTCGTAAAAATTCCACTCGTGAACTGAACGGTGTGTGTCTCAGCGAAACCCATGACCTTCAGAGCGCGTGTGGTCTCACAGATTGTGAACATCCGGTTCTGCCTTACTAGAGAAAGTGGTGCAACTCTCGATAGTCGGTGCTGGCTATGTTCACGGCCGACTCTATTTATTTTAGAGAAGGTGGTGGTTATATTCATTCGATGTGAATGTTTTCACTCATAGGTTGAGTGTGTGTCTCATAGACGGTGAACATATCGAGTGTGTGTCTCATAGATGGTAAACATGTCGAGTGTGTGCCTCACAGATGGTGAACATGTCGAGTGTGTGCCTCACAGATGGTGAACATGTCGAGTGTGTGCCTCACAGATGGTGAACATGTCGAGTGTGTGCCTCACAGATGGTGAACATGTCGAGTGTGTGTCTCAAAGACGGTGAACATGTCGAGTGTGTGTCTCACAGACGGTGAACATGTCGAGTGTGTGTCTCACAGATGGTGAACATATCGAGTGTGTGTCTCACAGATGGTGAACATGTCGAGTGTGTCTCTCACAGATGGTGAACATGTCGAGTGTGTGTCTCACAGATGGTGAACATGTCGAGTGTGTGTCTCACAGACGGTGAACATGTCGAGTGTGTGTCTCACAGATGGTGAACATGTCGAGTGTGTGTCTTAAATACGGTAAACATGTCCAGTGTGTGCCTCACAGATGGTGAACTTGCGAGTGTGTGCCTCACAGATGGTGAACTTGCGAGTGTGTGTCTCACAGACGGTAAACATGTCAAGTGTGTGTCTCACAGATGGTGAACATGTCGAGTGTGTGTCTTAAATACGGTAAACATGTCGAGTGTGTGACTCTCAGATGGTGAATTTGCGAGTGTGTGTTTCACAGACGGTGAACATGTCAAGTGTGTGTCTCACAGACGGTGAACATGTCAAGTGTGTGTCTCACAGACAGTGAACATGTCAAGTGTGTGTCTCACAGACGGTGAACATGTCGAGTGTGTGTCTTAAATACGGTGAACATGTCGAGTGTAGGCCTTACAGGTGGTGAACTTGCGAGTGTGTGTCTCACAGACGGTGAACATGTAGTTTGTGGGCCCCTGAGATGATGAACATGTACAGCAGTGTTTTCTAAACTTTTCTTAGTGGCGGCGCCTTTTTTCAATTAAAATGTTTATACCGCACCCTAACATAAGTCAAAGTATCCATAGTCGTTTGTAACGGATTAAACTTGTGTTTCTTTGAATATTTCGTGGCGCCCCTGTGAAGAGGTCGCGACTCCCCCGGAGCGCAAAGTTTTGGAATAACTGATGTAGAGCGTGTGCATCACAGATAGTGAACATGTAGAGTGTGGGACTAACCGACAGTGAACATGATCAAACCTTCATGTAGAAGCCCGGAAGAGAAAAACAGAGACAAACAATTGTGTTGTGTGTGAGAGTCACTTTGATGTGTAGAGCCAGAGCTTGGCAAAGCATGAAAACACACTAGCATTCATTGGTTTTGGCTTATACAAAGGATCAACATCATGATACAACCCATAAGTGCTCCGTTCTACTTCTAACTCAAGCCTGAGTCTGAAGAATCTCAGTGCAGTGCACGAACTCCGTAGCACAGATGAGGATCCTGAAACACTTTGGGTTTATTTCAAACTCTGCCCGGGCAGCACCGTTAGGCTACTCTTTTCGATTTCCAACTGCCAAGGGATTTTTTTTAACGTTCGCAACAATACATACAGGCGTTCAATCTTACCACCCAGAGAGTTTCCCCGTGTGGGTTCCGGGGCCCTACTATGGGAAAAACAAGAATAGACCCACTGCCTACCCAAAAGCATGTCGTAAGAGTCAACTAATTTGGAGCTTCCTTCGAAGTCGGAGTGCATCTGCCTGAGAGGCAAGGAACCAACAGTCTGCATACAGATCTGTCAAATGGATGCACATGCAACCCTCAGGTTCTGGAACAGGACTGCAGTACAGAAGTGGACGAACAACCAGAATTTTCAGCCAGAGTTTACAGCAGGTGAGCGTGAAGAAGAAGAAGACTACCCAGAGAACAGAGCAAATTACTAGAAGTCCACGTGAAAAAATCCCAGCTTTCACTGGGTGTTTTCGGAGAGATTGTTGATGTGATTTTATCTGGCATGTAGTAGACAGAAAGCGATTTATTGATCACCAATGTATCATCTTCGTAATGTGTTCGTCCATAATAAAGAGACTGATGGCACTATGAGATCATACTTAGAGTGGTGTATTGTATTATGGCGCTCTTAAGACAGTATTAGGGGTTATGACAGGACAAGTAACCTGTGCCAGACATATTGTGGTTGTTAACTTGTTTCTTGTACCTGGCTTTATTATGTTGCTCCTGTTTGGGTTGGCCTTCCTTTATTCTAGTAGTTACCATCAACAAGTGCCATGCCAATTAGAGTGGGCGGCTATGGTTCATCAGCTGAGGGAGTCCAGAGTGTACGTGTGGAGGACAAATTTATATACATATCCCCTAGATACTTGACAAGTGTGTGATGTATCTTCTGATCTCATGCTTCAAGTTAAATAAGATGAAGAAGACATATACTGAGCTGCCTGTAATGGCAAAGGATTGAACAGTTTGGTACGACCTTCAGATTCAGACCCAAGACCTTCAGATTCAGACCCAAGACCTTCAGATTCAGACCCAAGACCTTCAGTTTCAGACCCAAGACCTTCAGATTCAGACCCAAGACCTTCAGATTCAGACCCAAGACCTTCAGAATCTCACTCCATCTAGTTTGACTGCATGATTTCATATTGGTTTAAACGATGTTTTGCTTGTTTTAAGCACACCCATCACCGATGACAGCCACCGCTAACAAGAGTAAAAATACAAAAAACATCAATGATTTGATACTCAGGAATCACCGATAACCCCCTGCAGTACTTCTTCCTTGCACGCAATCACCTGAGACCTAATCACAACAACACATTCATAACAAACAACTCCATAACAGAGGACAGCCTGTAGTAACCAAAATACAAAATCCAGCAGCCGAATAAGATGGGGCCAGAATTGTGAGTTATATCAACACTTTTTCTTGGCATTCATCGGCTGTAAACTCTGGCAGAAAGTTCTGGATATCCATCCACTACTAGACTTTGGCCATGATCTAGAACTTGAGTTCTGCATGTACATAGAATTTGCTTATTTGTATGCAGACTGTTGGTTTCTTGACTCTCAGGCAGATGCACTCCAACTCTGAAGGAAAAACCTCTAATAAGTCACCTCCTGCGACATGCTAGTTGTGTGGGAGGGGGGGGGGGGGGGGGAGGGCAGCGGGTCTATTGTTTGTTCTTTAAAATGGAGCCTGGGAACCCATACAGGGAGGTTAAAACATTTTTATTGGGATGATTCTAGACATAATATGAGGAGAAGCTAAAGCCATTGTGCTATGTATAAAACTTAGCTAGAATGGGATCCCAGAGTTGATAGATCCCAGATATGCAGTGTCCAAAAAACATCTGGCACTCATAAGCCTAGACCCAAGGCAAGAGTGATAATAAATGACCACAGAAAATTCCTTCAGATGATGAGAAAAGTCCACTGGCTGAGTTTTCTATCAAATGACTAACCATGACTTATATGCCTGTCAATCAAGAATCCTATTAAATGGCAAATTAGGTCCAAAAAGAGTGCCCTATAAGATGACAGCGAAAGTCAAGATGTCTATCATGCAAAGACCTTATTGGATCATAGCTAAAGTCCAGAAGTCTATTGTGCAAAGGTGCTATTTGATGAAAGTAAATGTGTGAATGTCTGCTACCATTGCAGTCTTTGAGTATCGTGCCCTCTATATGCTACCGGGCTAAATGCCAGCGTTATCTATGTGAAAATGGCTAATAAGAAAGAGTCTAACATGTTGAGGAAACGAGATGCCCATTCTGTGTACGGCATGAAAGTCTTAGATCTGCTGCTTCCTGTTAACCCCTGAAGAGCACAGCCCGTCACTAGTGGGATGCTCAATTTATGGATGCGAGGTTAAGCACTTATGTGTAGATCATGACACTTCCTTGTGTGAGCCCAGTATCAGAGCACCATATATTAGCTCTGCATTTATTGAAGCTTCTTATATCCGTTGTGAATTCTGATACCTAGACCTCCCTTGAAGGCCGACCAGTCTTCATGCAGCTGCCTTGGATGGGTCCTCTAGGCACAACACTTAAGGATCAGGGGATGAAGAAATCACCACACTGTGAAGGCTAGCTTTGTAACCAAATGCCAGATGAAGCTGGATGTGTTGTTGCAATATTGCAGAAATGCCGTAAACAGGTACAAAGCAATAAAGTAACTGGCAAAAACGATGATGATGATGATAAAGAAACTTTGGTGCAACTTGGTTTGAAGTCTTTGGCCTGTTGGCAGAAGAGAAAGAATAAATCATAGCAAAACACAATAAAACCACTTTGTTTTTGCTAACATAATCAACAAAAAGTAGTTAAAGATTTCTGTTTATTAAAAATAATTATGACGACATTATGCAACAGACAGCCATTCAGGGTTTAAAATAGACAAGGATTTAAGTGCACAGGATATTATAATAAGTAACATTATTATTCAGAGAGCATATTATGACTGCGGACTTCTAGCGTCTGCCACACCTTTAGGCACTGAAATCTCTAAGCCATCCATATCTTTTGTGACAATCACTTGGCAACCCAGACGTGAACTGTAACAAAAAAGACACACACACAAAATTAGATGGCAAAGATTACTCAAATTTTAATATTATTTCATTTTAAACATGCCACTGAAGATAAACTATTAAAGAAAAAAAGTTAAATGCATTTGAAAATAAATGCATAAAGAAACCTGACAAACATTTAATAGGATGAATATCAGAAAGACAAAGAAATTAGAGAAATTTCAGGGCTGACACAGGTACCAACAGTTACAAGACAAAGAAGATGGCAATATTTCGTGTACATCCAGAAGATAAGTTGATGAGAATCAACAAACAGGCACTTAAAAGGGCACAAAATTGACTGAGGAAACACAAATGTTCAAAAGAAACCTGAGATAACGTTAATGAGAGAGGCTTAAGATCCTGGACTGGATTCCGTTTATAATACAGGAACACTTTCACAGGATAGAATGGAATGGAAGAATAAATAAATGGTGAGCCCTAAGGGACATGAAGGCAACACAAAGTATAATGAAAGGTTATTGGTTTATATATTTCATTTTTCCTTATAACAAACCCAAAATATCCCAATGTATATATATATCTAAAACTGTCTTTACTGCTGGTATTTATATCAATTTTTAAGGTGGTGCGAGGCAGAAGAACTAACCACACTTTCTGCTTATTATTTTTTTAAAGTCAGTTGCAAATCCTTTACATGACACTGCAGAACCAAACGTTTGTTTGGCTGTTGGTGATTTTACTCAGCAATTTGACTCAGTAGTTTGCTTTTACTTTATGAACTATCAGCTCTCAATACCACTGTCAAAAACAACACAAGGCAGGTTGCTAATCACCTAAAGCTGGGATCTTAACAGGTATTTCAGAATTATAAACCATGTTTGCAACGCCTACCTCCTTATTGCACCCAGACAAAAATCCCTAGAACTAACAAGACTGGATCAACCTCTGCTTCTTCTTATAGTCTATGCCATGTGGCACTGGTAGTCACGTCTATCCGCAACCTTCTGTCTTATGTACTTTTAATCAGTCCTGGCGCAGATGATCTTTCATGCCATCATGTCAAACTGTCCAGCATCTTCTCTCTCGGGTTCCCTCCAGTTTTTCCACGATCTCAAGATGTACTGCAGGTTTCTCATGACGTGATCAAAGAATGTAGATTTTCAAGACATCCTTTTTACTCTGCTATCTGGCCATAACTTAGGTAGAGTACACATATTTAAAAACAAATCTCTTCCATGCCATTGGGCACAGTGGGTGTATAGTTCAATGCAGAATTAACGACGATAATATCTGCTGACAGATAGAATGCAGCATTTGCATTTCCTTGGTCAAAAGGAACTACCACCTTGGCACATTTGAAGCCAGGAGTTACATTTACTTGCTAAACAGAAACCATAACTTTGGCACACTTCAAGTCAGGAGTTACATTATATTCCTTTGCTACACAGGAACCATAATGCCGGCACATCTGGAGGAGTTAATTTCTTTTGCTACACACAAGAACCACAACTCTGGTACACATATGAAACCAGAAATTGCACTGCCTTGCTCCACAACTTTGACACATGTGGTGAATCCAGGATAATATACACGCAGACCCTGCCTCAACTGCAGAAAACGAACATGTGTTGCTGCCCCTATCATCCCTGCTTTCACTGCTGTATGTAATTACCAAATCTTGTGTCTGATAAAAGGATGCGGATTGTCTCCAAACTGCCGGCAGTAATGTGGACCGAATAACAAGTCTTCCTGCCAGTGTGTATGTCGGCACAAAAGTATTGATGTCATAAAGTAGTTTGTAGTAATAATGACGAATTTCATGTGTTGTCCTGATGTATTAGAATGTGTAGTAAGAACAATGATTTCACGAGTAGTCCTGATGTTATAGTTTGTAGTGAAAAGGATGTAGTCCTAATGTTATAAATATTTATTAAGAACAATGATGTCAGGAGTAGTCCTAATGTTATAAAGTAGTGTGAAGTGAGAACAAAGATTTTATGAGTAGTTTTGATATTATAAAGTAGTATGTAGTGAGAACGATGATTCCATGAGTAGTCCTGATTCTGTAAAGCAGTAGGAAGTAAGAGCTATGATGTCATGAGTAGTCCTTATGTTAGAAAGTAGTATGTAATGAGAACAAAGATTTTATGAGTAGTCTTGATGTTGTAAAACAGTTGTAATGAAAAGCAATTTCTGCAGTGGTCCTGATGTTATAAAGTAGTGTGTATTAAGAACAATGATGTCATGAGTAGTCCTGATTTTATGAAGTAATGTGTAGCGAGAATGAAGATTTCATAAGAAGTCCTGATATTATAAGGTAGTTTCTAGCAAGAACAAAGATTTTGTTGGTAATCCGGTCCCTGACTTCATAAAAATGAAGATTTTATGAGTAGTCCTGATGTTATAAAGTAGTGTGCATGAAGAATCATGATTTTGTGAATAGTCTTGATGTTTGTTCTAATATTCAATATCTGTCTTGTTGCTGATGTGTGTGCACATGCGATGCAGTGAGATATTAGCCTAATGAAAATAACTCATTAATTAAGTGCTGAACCAAGACTTCATGTAGAGTCATCGCATATCAGAATATAATTTTGTAAATAGGGCTTGACCTATATTTTATACACCAATCAGCACTTGTTGGTTGATGTCAACATCACGCCAGCCGCCTTTACTTTCCAGGATTTTTACCTGGTAACTACTTGATTGAGTATAAACGACTTATACTGCAGTATAAGTAACCATTACTTCAGTATAAATGACTAATACTACAGTATAAATAACCATTACTTCAGTATAAATGACTAATACTACAGTATAAGTAACCATTACTTCAGTATAAATGACTAATACTACATTATAAGTAACCATTACTTCAGTATAAATGACTAATACTACATTATAAGTAACCATTACTTCAGTATAAATGACTAATACTACAGTATAAGTAACCATTACTTCAGTATAAATGACTAATACTACAGTATAAGTAACCATTACTTCAGTATAAATAATTAACACTACAGTATAAGTAACCATTACTTCAGTATAAATGACTAATACTACAGTATAAGTAACCATTTCTTCAGTATAAATGACTAATACTACAGTATAAGTAACCATTACTTCAGTATAAGCAATTATTACTTTAGCATAAGTAACATTCACTTTAGTTTAAATAAACAATATAGCATAAGTGACCATTACCACAGCAGAAATAGCCATTAGTATAGCATAATTGACTATAACTTGAGTTTAAGTCAACCCTTACTATAACAGTTCAAACCTTACTTTAGTATAAGTTAAACCTTACCACAGTAGCAATTTTAAAGTGGCAAATACTCTAGTATAAGTCAACATTACTATGGCATAAGTTACCACCATTACTTTAGAATAAATAAACCTAATTCACAGAAAGACAACACCACAGCTACATACACATGAAACGGACACAAACAAAAGAAAAGGCTATTCTGGGACACAAAGAAACCACTCACGTGTCTGTGAGGCCATATGCCAGATCTAACATGTCCAGCTCCTCATCTGTCGGCTTGTCAGGGATTTTGTCGTAATCCTCTTGTTTGAAAATGAGATGGCACGTGGAGCAGGCCAGGGTTCCCTCACAAGCACCTGTGACCAAAAGTTCAAGTGGGCAAAGCTTTAGAGAAAGTATTGATTTTGTTCTCTGCAGGACAGCATTCTTGTCATAATTAGGCCTAATCTGGCTGTTTATGAATCTTCTTTAAGATTTTTGTCTCCTGACTTTCATCTCCTAATGGAGCATAGGCCCTCAAACCAGATGATGCCAAGCCCTTTGTAGAACTGTTTTATCTTGCAGTTTATGTGCAAACAGTTTACAATAAAACTGAAATTTCTTTATATCACATATTCCAGCTTTTCATGGGATCAGACAGTTCAGTCCATTTCATGCATGCCCAGCTAATTGCCTCTTATAACATGTATGGTAGATTATAGTGTTTCTATTATGTGCTTCAGGAGCTGCAGTTGTGTAGCAGTTAGATGCTCTTTCCCCCGACCCAAAGGGTGGTTAGTACAAATCCGCATTATCCATTATTTTTCTCGCCAAAAATGACACTGGCTCCCATTTCGACCCAGCCCAAATGGGTACCAAGTAAAGCTGACTTTATTATCCATCAAAAGCTAAGTCTATAAACATTTAAGTCAAGCATTAAATGGCCAAAACGTCACTGGCATCAAAAGGGCCCTTTACTTGTATTCTGTGCTTTTCTCAGCTCTTTCTGTACCAGTGAAGGCATCATGTGTAGATTTATATGTAATTTTACAGTCCTCTGTTACCAAAAGATTAAAGGTATCATCAACACATGACCATTGTTAAAGATAGTCGTGGGAAGTAAAGGCAGTCGACATAACGCTGACCTTACCACTCCCTTAGTGCTAATTGGTCTATAAAATATAGGTGTAGCCCTACATGCTTAATTTACTTTTTACTGTTGAAGAATGTTTTCTGCCCTCCAGATGGTTTAGATGACGGATCAATATCATGGCACAAGGGGTACCCCATAAGCGCTCTGTTCTACTTCTGACTCAAGCCTGAATCCAAAGAATCTCAGCACAGTACACGAACTCTGTAGCATCGGCAAGGATCCTGAAATACTTTGGGTAGATTTTTAACTCCAAATTTTGCCCGGACAGCGATGTTAGGCTATTCTTTTTGATTCCAAACTGCTAAGAGATTTTTTCGTGCGCAGCAATACACACGGATGTCCGATCTTACTACCCAGAGACCAGGGGAAATTACTAGAAGTCCACGAGAAAAAATCCTAGCCCTCATGGGGTTTGAACCCATGACTCCAATTCACTTCTCTGTGTATTTTTAGGTCTCCTCCATATTTTTTGTCATGTGGATTCCAGTGAAATTATACACTAGTAACTATTATCTGGTTTCCCTTGGAGTGTTTAAGTTACTTTCATCTATACAGGATGTAAAATTGTGTATACATAATTTTCTGGCTACATCTAAACAATGTAGAGGGCTTTCAGTTTATCCGGCTGTATGAAAGCTGGTATTACCAGTAGCTTATGGCTAGTGCTGTTGATAAAGTCTGCAAAGTAAGTTCTTTGGAACAATAATGATATTTACAGTGAAACATCTATATTTATGACATTGAAAAGTGTACAGTTTAACAGCCCAACAATTTGAAATTCCACTCGGTGAAATTGCCCAGGAAACACCCCTCCATGCCTTCTTTATTCAAACTGTACACAAGTAAACTTCTTTTGCTTCTGCCATACAACTCATGCCAAGCATTTGCATTCCACCAACCCAAGCCCAGTGTAAACTTCTGCAGTGAAAATTGTCTACAGGATGAGCTGGCAAGTGTCCTGCCAACCTCTGTGGTTTCTTTTATGACATGCTCAGCCTTCTAAATCCCCTCTCCCAGGCAAAACGTTTCTGGGCAAAATATTGGGGAAGGGTGGTGTCTGAGGCCTCAGCCTATCTCCACTCGCAATTAGGAAAACAAATGGGGATGGGGAGGGGGGGGGAGTATCTCAGATCCCCCCAGCCTCTCCTCCATTTAAACTAGGAAAACACTGAGAGGGAAAGCGGGTGTTGTTCCATCAACCACACCATCCTCACCAAATAAAATTTTCTAGGCACACAATTGGGTAGGAAATGGGGGTATGGGCCTCAGCTCCTTGAGTGCCCCACCCAGATGTGAAATACATAAACACTTTTAAAGAAAATGTATACACAGGATGGCTCTGGTCTCGGCACTTATGATGATGAGTATGACTAGCAAAGGCTTCCAAAACCAATGAAGGCCAGGGAATTAGCCCTCTTCTCCCCAGCAGAAAGCCTGAGCAGTAATGAAGAGACAATATGTTGCCCATGCAGCATGATTCCTTATTTGTGTCAAATATGATACATATTTTCACAACATAAATAAATGGAAGTTATATAGTTTTGCAACTGTAATTTGTCATTTCTTGATTCATATCAGAGTGATAAAACTTGTCTTTGATTTGCAATTTAATAACCAAAAGAAAGCCTAATACAAAATTTTTTTTATACCCAGCGATACTTCAGCCAACAAGTGACCTAGTTATTACATTTTCTGGCAAATTCAGCTAATTACCTTGAATTGAGCTAACAAATGTTTCTGTGGATATGCATGCTAACAGAACGTGGCCACAGCATGAGCTGAATTTTTGCACCAATCACATCTGTCTAATAACCGAGATTCTGGAATTAATTATCTTTGTTAGCCAAGGTATCACTGAATATAAACACAATAGCACTCTTTTTTTTTAAACTTAGTTTACAAAGACAACAGAAAGAATTTCTGTTAGACGAAATAAATGTGGGCACAGACTGACCAAAGCCATCAATGTCTATATCGTTTTCCGTGATGACATCCAACAAGTTGTCTCCCACTTTGGCATTGACTTCCTGTCTGCGACCATCAGATAATAAGAAAATGACTTTCACTCTGAAATGAATATTAGAAATGACAAAAAAGTGTAACCATTTATTCAGCATAAATAACTTCAAATGTAATGGCAGGCCCAGATAGCTAGCAGCAGTCTGAACGTGGTCGAGCTTTTCTTTTTTTTTCTCAAAAGGACTTGGACTTGGACATGGCAGGCCCATGGTGGAAACAGCCCTTGCATTGTGAAGGCTTTCAAATACTCAACACTACAGAATAAAGAGATAGAACAACCAGTTCTCTTAACTTTTTCAGTATTAGACCCATTCCATCCCAGAAAGTCTCAAATTAATAAATGTTTGGGTTCGACTGGGTTAAAATAACCCCGCAATGAAAGAGGAGTTAAGAAACAGTCAGACAGAGACTGTGATGAAACAATTAAATGTTGTTTAAGAAACTGTACAATGAAAGAATTAGCCAGCAAACGCTTGCTACTGAAAAAGTTAATCATGTCTGTAAACCTCATATCATTTCCATGAATATTTGAAAATGTCAGCATCAATTTCAGGAGGTTGGGTTGCCCTTAAAGCTGTACAGGCTGTAGAGGGGAGGAGGGTTCTGCCTTTGTACAGGATTGAGTAATAACCAATGTGAAGTGGACTGATAAAATATACTGTTCATGATCCTCTTATACAATTTCTGAAATAAACTTGGGATGATGAAGAGCTGAACAACATGTGGTGACATGCCACTAGGCAAGATCTATCTACACCTATCTATGGCCATCTTAGGGACATGATATCAAAAAGACTGAAGGATAGAATAAAATGCAGGAACACATTGTTGTCCTTCCCAGTGTGGGTTAATGGGCCCCATTGTGGGGAAAACAAGAACAGACCCACTGCCTCCTCAACAAGCATGTTTTAGGAGTCGAGTAATTGGCAGCTTCCTTCAAAGTCGGAGTGCATCTGCCTGAGCGGCAAGGAACAACCAGCTGCCCACAAATAAGCCAGTAAGGTGGATATACATGCACATCTCATGCCCTGTCACAGAGCCATAGTCCAAATGGATAAACAACAGGAGTTTCTGCCGGAGCTTACAGCTGAACAAAGAAGAAAAAGAATATTTTACCCCTATATGATATATACATAATGGCACAAGAGGAGGATGATGGTGATGAAGAGGACCATGACATAGTTCAATTATATGTGCTATCTTCATATTAAAGGTTGGCTGTAATGAGCCTTCAAAACCTTATGCCCTTCACTTCCATTGTGCACTCATGTCAAAGCCACACCGAGATTTAAAAGAAAAAAAAAATACATCAGCACTGGTGAATCTGACTTCTACCTTCCAATTCCACATCATTTTCTATGGCAACAGTAAGCAGGGAGTCACCTATGCGTGCCTGAGTTTTTAGTCTGTCCCCATCTCTGTCTATAAATATTATAGTCACTCTGAAACAATACAAAACAAGTGTTCTTGAAATGACTGCCATATTTTTACCTATCTCCCATTAACTATCCCACAATTCTGGAGCTACCTACGCGTGCCTAAGTTTCTGGCCCGTGCCCTATCTCTGCCTATAAATATTAGAGCAATCTTGAACAATGTAAAATAAATGTACTTAAAGTGTCTGCCATACTTTCTTCTTCTTCAGCATTCCAAGCTCTTGAGGTTTACTGCTACAGATATAATCCGCCTCTATCATTTCTGTGATTGGAATTTACTTTCATCTGTCTCCTATTACTATCCTAATCTGGAGAATTCCACATGTGCTTGGGGTTTTAAACATTACTCTATCACTGTCTATAAATATTACAGTGACCCTGAAAGATAACATAAACTGAACCTCCTAAAAAGCATGAACTAATAATATTAAAATTGACACAAAGAGAACTAACTGCCTAAGACAATCTACATTCTTTGGCCATGTCATGAGAAAGAGAAAAACTGGAGTACATCGTGATTGTGGGAAAGCTGGAGGGGGAAAGAGGCAGAGGAAGACGCTGGACAGATTGACATTATGACCATCCGTGTCAGAACTGACTGAAAGTACACGAGACAAGGTTGTGAACAGACATGACACTACCAATGCCATATGGCATGGCTAAAAGAAATTTTTTATTTACATCTAATTATTCATAAGCTATTCTTCTATTTCTGTGCTTGAGTTTCTTGAATGCTCATATCTGTGTCTACAAATTTTATGGCGACTACGACTATGAAAAAAACCAAAAAAAGCAAACATCCTTGGAAAGTTTGCCATCTTTGGATTTATCTTCCATCATCTATTAGATTATCCTACAAAGACGAAATATGGCCTCAGGACTTAATGTGATGGCATGGTAGATTAGGCACTTAGCCTTAGTTGGCAGATGGTCTAGTAGGGAAGCTAGGACAGGCAGATAGACAAAGCACTGATCCTATGACCAAGCACCACATGTTGCCCATACATCATGATCCCTCTCTCAGCCTGCCTTATTTATTTTAAAGGAAAGGCAGCACCAATAAGTTTAGAACCAATGCAGAGTCGGATCAGAAGTGCAGTGTTGTCTATCTGTTGTTAAAAGCTTCCCCCTTAGACCAGTTGCCAACTAAGGTTAACTGACTGGTCTATCTTTCTAAAAAACGTTTTCAGATTGTATTTCCTTTTCTAAACTAACACAGAAGTGGATACAGGCCACTGGGGACATATTATGCATGAAAATACTTGAGACAGATTACGGATTTAAGAATCAACAACAAAGCATACCAGGCATACCCACAGATGCCAGATCTTCCGCAGCAAATGTCTTCAGGTGTAGATGCTAATTGTTCCATTAGCACACTGGTTATACACACGTCATAGTGTTACTCTAATAAATTGTTTCTTTACAGATCCCTAGATAGTTTCACAACTCTTTATACATGTTTCTTTATCTTCTTCTTTTGCTCTTAAAAGGGTGGTTATCATGTTGTGCTGTGGTTTATAGCTGGGCCGCAATATCTGCCCCTTTTGGTCCAAAACACATAATTTCCTCATTAGTTGCCTTATATGGCATTCTTGCTAAGGAAACAGTGGGTCTATTCTGTATTTTCCCCCCTAAATGGGGTCCTGGTGCATACATGGGGAGACTACAGCATTTGCTCATTAACAGTCTTCAGAATGTCTGCCTTGTCTATTATGAGTGTTCCTGCCAATGTCGCTTTTGTAGCCAAAAATCTGATCTTTCATTTCTTCACACTCCTACATATCCAGGTCAGTATATCCATGTCATATTGATGCTTAACATCAACTTATGCCACATATATCCATCTTGAACCTTCCACAAGAGACAAAAGGATAAATACCCAGAAGCATTCTAGCTCTGTCAGCAGAAAGCAGAGCACTGCTTTTCTGGTCCGGCAGCTTTCACAGTATGCTTTGCTTCAAACATACTGGTGCTACCTTTCTTCTGTAGTTAATAAAGCAGGTCAACTGAGCATCCATACTGTATGAGCAACACATGGCCTCTACAATACTGCCCAGGCTTTGTGCTATGGAGAGGAGAACTGTATCTCTGGCCTTAACTGGTAAAGGTAACTCTGGCCTGAACTGGTAAAGGTAAAGTTATCTCTGGCCTTAACTGGTAAAGGTAACTCTGGCCTAACTGGTAAAGGTAAAGTTTTCTCTGGCCTTAACTGGTAAAGGTAAAGGTATCTCTGGCCTGAACTGGTAAAGGTAAAGGTAAAGTTATCTCTGGCCTTAACTGGTAATACCATAGGCTGTGATTCCCATGCCTCTCAAAATGGACACCATTGTCTGGAAAGACAGAACACTGCCAACAAATTTCAAATAACTCACGGATACTTACTTCTGGTGCTGTGGTTTTGGAACAGAAGAGCAGAACCTGTTCTCCCTCATGAGACTGCTGCAGACAAGTAGTTTTGACCAGGACATCTGTGATAGTATAGGTGACCTTGAAACCTGTCTAACTAAACTTGGTAACAGGGGGGTGAAAGCCAATCTTATAGCAGCCATTTCCAAAGAATTATGCAATACAGGAATTACAAGTTTTAATTTCTTAGCCCAACAGGTATTGGCACAGAATATAACAATGAAAAATCCACAAGACTGAAATGACTGGAACTGAAGTGTATCAATGAGATGTCAAGTTCTGAAGCATCTGGCCTGGAAATAAATAAATATGTTAAACAGGAGATTAACCACTAGAAAAGGTCTCAAACAAAATAGTTACAGTTATAAGTGTTAAGAACATATTATAAAAGTGTTAGGTTTGGTGTGTTAAAAAAAGTGTGTCCCAGTTTTGTGTGTGTGTTTCAGTTACATTATTTGCACACAAACATTAGCTTATAGGGCTAAGAAATCCATTTTTCATTTATAGAACACTCTGTAGATGACACACTTGTATTCACTCCTGTGTCTTATCCTGGTCATACATTATAGCCCTAAATAGGCTAAACCTAGTTCCTTCCCACTGTGACACATTTCTTTGTGATTTGTTCCATGTGTGCCTGATCAGTGTTAAGGGTCCTGAAAGTTAATATATTAACTACATATAGCATTTAGAGTGGTAAATCCAATAGTGTTTTTTTTTTTTAAGCCAGGTTAACTGTGAATTTTTCCATGAACCTCAGTGATAGAGGTCACAGCATAAGTCACCTGATACATTTTTGTTTTAGGTCCCAGAGAATGCATTCCATTTAGGATTCACTCTGTTCTTGTTTATGATGACTCTCTTTATATATTTCAAAACCAAAATAATTTTTTTGTAATAAATACATTTTAAAACAAATGTATTAGTTACCTGTGTAAAATAGTGTTTGTTTAAAAACGTTTTTTTTTGGGGGGGGGGGGGGGGGAGGGGAGGAGGGTGCCCCCACAGGTTTGTGAACCATTTTTTTTTTAAATTATGAAAGGGTAAACCACTCTATGCATTTTTTGTAAAACAAAATTTTTGTTTTTTGAAATTTCTGTGGTCTTGGTGGCATTATAATTTACTAATGATAATGTAGCTTTCTTCTGTGTGGCTGTGTCAACAATAAACAAAACAAAAAATATTTTCTTGGTCAAAGGGAGGGAAAACAGTTATATCTTTGCTCTATTTGTATTTAGTGATGATTTTCTTTCATTAGAAAAAGAAAAAAAAATCACCTTTATGAAAAAATGACTAGACAAAAAAACGACATCATTTTAGTGACTTCCTGGACTGGGATGATGTAACAGATTACAGGCCTGTTCAACCCTCTGACCACAAGAAAAGGCACTTGGAAAAATGCAGCGATCTGGAATTATGATGCATACGAGGGGTTTCAGAAAAAGCATGAAACAGTGGCAGCAGGACATGATCTAAGAGTTGCATACAGGTTTGCGTATCCTTTACAGGACGTTGCAGAACCAACCCCAACAGCCCCTGGCTGTTGTGTGGTTTTTCTAGGCAAATTTACATCCTGTAGTTTGCCACTGCTTTCTGGACGGTCGGCTTTCTTGTCACCACTGTTGAAACCAACGCAAGACGCATGGCCCACAGCTGGGATTGAACCCGGCATCCCGGCATTACGAAGCGTTCGCATCGACTCACACAGAGCGGACCGTTGCATACAACAGAGGTAAATATGACGTTTTACTGTACATATTTATAACTAAGCAAATATCTTCCTGGATCATGAACTGGATTGCAGTGGTCTTGTATGAACATTACACTGCTTTTCGTCTACCTTTGTGAAGCTCTGAACCTTGTAGTATTACATCTGGCCTACCATTTCCCTGTTCTATTCAATGTGTTCAAAAGCAGGATAGTGGCAATAGAGGCACTAGGTATTGGGAGACTTATGACGTTTGCCAACAATGTTTAGTCAACAGACAGGAAAGAAACAGAATAGAAATATCTAGAGAACTGCAAGCCATAGAAGAAAATGGGTTCTACCATCAATCTAGACAAAGAAGCGGTAATGTGGTGTATTGTTAGAGACAAGGTTCTGAACATCACAATAAATTATACTAAAATGAATTTTCATGGTATAAAATTTGACAGGAACCTGTCATTCAAGTATCATGTAGAAGAGGTAGTGTTAAAGATAAAGAAAGGACTCACCACACTGTAGGTGATAGCATTGGAAATGTAATTAATAGAGAATGCTCTACACACTTTACTCATTGTTTTGGTGATGGTGTATGGTTTGGGTCTGCTCATGTTATCTAACAGACAGAGAAACTGGAATGCATGCAAAATGATGCCAAGCAAGTCATTTTGGGATGTACACAGGACATGTCAATCGTGTGCATGTAGCACATACTTGCATCGCCATCCACAAATAAAAGGTACAAGGTGTCGCAGGCAAAAAATGTACTGTAAAGTCTTAAAGGACCTGGAATACCTTTTATATGAGGCCTTGGGAGATAGCAAGGGACATCGGCTGAAAAGAGGTCTTGGATGGCTAAGATAGAAGTCCCAATCATAGCTGTTGGTGCCACTGACAAAATAGTGCTTGGGGAGGGAGGAATGGGTTACAGTGCCGCAAAGCAAAATACACTTGCAAAGAGTGACAGTTACCTTGGACTGAGGGTGCCAGGAATGGATAGCTGGTGAATCAGAGGCATCAGTGCTAGAGCTGATCAATGAAAATTGGTACTATTAGCATAATGACTCTTTGTTGGCTACTGAGGAAAGAGATATGTGGGAATGTCTAGAGTACGGGGATGTCAATTCTTCATTTATTCAAACCCCAGAATTTTTATAAAAATCGACCAAGATTCCAAGTTTTTTCTGCTTCGTAGGCTAGACTTTCAGAGAATTAGAAGGATGGATTTCTTTTTAACGAAATTTCAATAAAATGTCATCGCCGCTCCTTGGCTTTGGTCCTCTGATGCGAAACCCATGTGCTAAAGGAGTAAATACAATATAACCTCGTTAACACGAACTCGCTTAACTCTTTGAGGTCGAGTAAAGCTGTGTGCGTTGACTGAGAATTCCCTTTTTGCCCAAACACTATCTGTATCGATCATGTTTCCTGTACATACTGATTCGCAGACCGCTCCGTATTCATTTCTAATGTTCGGAACTACCAATAAAGTATTCAGGGAAGGTTACTGTAACATTTGTTTTTGTAAATAAGTGTATGTTCCCTGTAATAAACCTTGGCTTGACTTGCACTGCGCTTTGGCTTACTACTTATTGGCTTTCGCCACGGCTCACTCTCTGGATGTTTACTGCTACAAAACTTGCACTGCTTTAACGTCTAGGGTTGACAACACAAACGCTGCTCAGCTTCTTGGTACATTCTGTCAGTTTATTCTCGTCCATTTATTTCACATTTATTTCATCGCGACATATTCAAACACTAAACATTTGCGCAACATAAAGACGACATCTTCAAATACTACAACCGTCTACTCTGACTTCTCATGATCCACTGACCACGAGGCTAGCTCGGGCTTCGCCTCGCTTACTCCACCGGCCACAAGTATCTCGTGCCGTCACTTGTAGCACGGACTTTCTGCTTGCCACAATGTACTCGTGGAGACCATGCAAAGCAGGGTCATCACATTCCCACACAGGTGGGCGCAGACTGATCCGATTAAAGCTTATGTGTTCTTTTCAGACAATACATTTTTCGATTTCATGTTCCAGTGGCCCTGGTTACCAATGTTCTGAACACAAGCACAGCTAAAAAATTGCCCCTTTCTGTGGCTGAAGCTCTGAAATTGTTTTAGTCAGAAGGTTTTCTAATAATGAAACATACATTTTTTGGAAAATGATTTGGACGGTTAATTTACATAAGTAACAGCTGAGCAGTGAGTCGTTTGTCCTGATCAGGTAAATCCAAGAGGACTCATTTTATCGGTAAAGGATGTGATAACATCCACATTTGCATTAATAGGACTGTTTCAGACAGTACCATACCCATACTATGGCTAAACTGCATTAAAATCATTGCAGCTATAGTCTGTATATAACTACAAAGTTAATATTTTGTGTGTATAGGACTATACATCAAATTTTCTGCTATTTTTTATCGAAATTTTGTTAAGCACTCAATGAGAACCTAGAGCCTCTGAGTGATAAACTAACCCAGAAACATATCATAAATTTTGAATTTGTTAGGAAACTGAACAAACAACTTTAAATTTTATTGATATTGTTATTCTCACATTTGGATACTCTCTGCTCTTGTGGCTGCAAAACCATGGTTAGTGAAGATTGTTTAGGGTAAAATTTTGTCTTTGTAAACATAACACCTACTGAATACGTTTTTCCAACTTACTTTACTATAACAGTATGAAACAAAAACATGAGATTCAAAATGTACATTCACTCCTCTTTTTAAAAAAAAATATACTTTTTATTGGGATTAGATATATTAATTAAACTACATTCTCAATTGCCTTTTTTTAAAAAAAAAAAACCCACCCCCTCTGCCAATTTTGTAAAGGAAGTTAATGTGAGCCAAGTCTGACATAATTCATGGGCCTGAAAGGGTTAAGAAGAACTCTCTACAAGAAAATGTTGGTCCCAGATGAGATATAATTATATTTTTATATTAAACAATTAACCGAGCCCCAATTTAGCACAATTTGTTTAAATACACCAACTCTTGAGTTTTCCGTCCTTTAGCCTACAGTTTAGGTTTCGGGTTAACGAGTTACTTATAAATACATCCTGCTATTCCCACACTGACGAATTAATTCATTTCGATAAAATTCATTTCACTCTTAGTGTCGGATACGTTCCTGGTCTCTTAACAATTCAATACATACGTACAAAGATGAAATCACAATATGTGTCTAGTAGAAAACCATGCCTACCTGTATGTGTGTAGTTTAAAAATAAGAGAATGTGAACGTTACAGAATGCAGTCACTCAAACAAAAACTACACAATCACAACCAGTCACCATCGCCACCAGACGAAATGGTGCAACTAATTGCGAGTGTCCATAGAGGTCAGGGGTCATCTTACCAGTTCCTAGCGCAAACTTGTAGCTACCATCTAACCTTTTATTTATTAATAAACTAAATGGG